CTTTTTTTTTAAAGATTTTTTTATTTTATTTATTTGAAAGACAGAGTTACAGAGAGAGGTAGAGAGAGAGAGAGAAGTCTTCTATCCACTGGTTCACTCCCCAGTTGGCCGCAACAGCCGGAGCTGTGCCGATCCAAAGCCAGGAGCCAGAAGCTTCCTCCAGGTCTCCCATGTGGGTGCAGTGGCCCAAGGATGACTATTATCAAAAAGAACAAGTATAGCAAGTGTTCATGGGGAAATGGGGAATTGTTGGTGGGAATGTAAATTGGTACAAATACTATGGACACTGTGTGGTGGTTCCTCAAAAATGAAAAATAGAATTACTATAGATCTAGCAATGCTACTGCTGGGTATATATCCAAAATATGTGAAAGCAGTGTCTCAAAGACACACTTGCACTCTCATGTTCACGATTTACAATACTGATGCCATACTTATTCACAATATCCAAGTCATGGAATCAGATAAAGAAAATGCTGTGTATGGACATGGTGGAATACTACAAAGCCTTTTCAAAGAAAATTTCTGTCATTTTTTAAAAAACATGGACAGAATTGGAAAACATTACACTAAGTGAAATAAACCAGGCACAGGACAAATACCACGTTTTCTACTTATACATGCAATCTAAAACAATTGAACTTAGAGGAGCTAGGAGTATAGTGGTGGAGGGTAGAATGAATGGGGAGATGATAGTAAAAGGGTATCAAGCTTTAGACAGGAGGAATAGTTTTTTTTTTAATAAACCTTTTGCACAGCATAGTGAACATAGTTAATAACTAGTTCACAGAGTAAATGTTAAATATTCTCACCAAAATATGGTGAATATTTTAGGTGATGGATTTGTTCACTAGCTCCATTACTCCACACGATATTCATAAGTCAGAACTTTCATTTTTATATAGATGACTAACATGAGTCAATTTACAAAAAAGAATATTAATTTCCTTTCCTATTATATCAGCAGATTATAGTACAGCAAAAATATCTCCTTCAAAAAGTGAATGTCAAATAAGAGAAAAATATCTTATATGTATTAATAGTAGCAGTGATAAAATTTGAATGTGGAATATCACCTACTTTAAATATTGAATGAAAATATAACTATATATCTAGAGATCTGAGTAAACTTCAAAGTCATAGTGGACATCAGTAATTAAATGAACTAACAGACTGGTTTGCTGAAAGTGTATAACAGAGTCAAAACAGAGAAAACAATAAGATCAGAAAGACCAGGCAGACACACTAAGTCAAGGCAAACATACACATATTCATTTACTTAACACCAAGTTTTAAGTAGCTACAGCATGTTTAAATATTAATACATAATCCTTAACCTCAAGGAACTAACAAGGTATAACAGAGACACAGAAGAGAGAGAGGAAGTCTTTATACAGTATTCAGAGCAAGAAAAAGAACTAATGAGTTACTCAAAGAGACAAAAGAGCATAATCAGAGGAAGAAATGCAAAAAATAAAGCAGTGCATCCAGGAAGCTGCTACTGGTTCGTTACTACTAGAGCATAGGGTTCCAAGAAAGAAAAGGCCATATAAGGCTGGAGAGGTATGTAGAAACCAAGCAACTGGAGCTGGCATTGTGGTACAGTGGGTTAAACCACAGTCTATGAAGCTGCCATCCCATACTGGAGTGCCTTTTTCAATCCTGGCTGTTCTACTTGCTGTCTAGTGACTTGCTCATATGCCTGAGAAAGCAGCAGAAGATGGACCAAGTACTTGGGCCCTGCCACCCATATGGGAAACACTGATGGAATTCCTGGCTCCTGGTCCAGGCTACCAAGGCCATGTAGGGAGTCAACCAGCATATAAAACTGTCTCTTTCTCTCTTCTGCTCTCCCTCTCTCTGTAGAAGAAAGAAGAAAAAATTAAGATGAAAGAAGAAAGAAGAGGAGGAGGTGGTGGTGGATGAGGAGAAGAAGGAGAAGGAAGAAGGAGAAAAGAAAGAAGAGAGAGGAGGAAGGAAGAGAGGGAGGGAAGGAGGGAGGAAAGAAAAAGAGAGAGAGAGAGGGAGGGAGGGAGGAAGAAAGAAAGAGAGAGAGAGAAAGAAAGAACAAAGAGAGGCAGAAAGAAAGAAGGGAAAGGGAAGAAGGAGGAGGGGGAGAGGGAAGAGAAGGAGGAGTAGGAGGTAGCTGAGGGTCTTAAATCCCACGCAAAGGACCTTCCATAGGTAAAAGGAAACACCTAACATATTTAAAGCAGGACAGTGATGAAATCTTTTCTGTGTTATTAATAGATCATATGTTACCCATATAGAAAGATTAAGTCTTGGGGCCCACACTGTGGCATAATGGGTTAAGCCACCACTTGCAGTACACACATCCCATATGGGCACAGGTTCAAGTCCTGGCTGCTCCACTTCCAATCCAGCTCCCTGCTAATGCTCCTGGGAAAAGCAGCAGCAGATGATCCAAGTCCTTTGGCCCCTGTAAACAAATGGGAGACCTAGAAGTTGTTCCTGGCTCCTGGCTTCAGCCTGGCCCAAACCCAGTCATTGTGGCTATTTGGGGGAGTGAACCAGAGGATGAAAGATCTCTCTCTCTCTCTCTTTCAAATAAATAAAAATAAATCTTTTTTGAGAAGGAAAGAAAAAAAGTCTTGTACAGGAAAATCAGCTAAACTACAGAAGAGCTGGTGGTTATAGTAGGGTCTATATTACCCATTAAGTAAGAAAACATAGATAAGAAATTTTTTAGTACATTGTGGGGGAAAAGTACAGGCACCTGGGAAAGTTACCCAGGAAAAATTGTCCAGAATCCATTCCAAACGATAGACCCAAGGAATAAACAATGAATCTTGCAACTGTAAATACAAAGCCAGAAGTCTTATGTATACCAATGATCCTTTATCAATATCAGCAGACACTTCTGGAATAGCAATTTGAATGAAATACATACATACAGAAAGAGTGAGAAGGGAATGGGGCAGAAAGAAGGAATACCTACTCTCCTACCCGTTACTAATCATTTTACTTCCTTCCATTAGCAAACATATCTAAATTCAAGATTCGGCTCTTTGCACACACTGTAGTTTGGGCGCTTCTCACACTACACAACTTGCCTCAAAGCTGTTTAAGCAATACACCATTTTCCATGTTCAAAGCACAATTTATGTCTTCTTTGAGGGATAACTCAATCTTCCTCAGTATCTGTAGATGACTTACTTCATTTAAAAAAAGATTTATTTATTTGAAAAGCAGAGTGACAGAGAGGGAGAGTCAGAAAGAGATTTTCCATCTACTGCCTCATTCCACAATAGCCAGGTCTGGGTCGGGCAGAAGCCCAGAGCCAGGAACTCAATCTGGGTCACCCACATCAGTGGCAGGGACTCAGGTACTCAGATAATATTTCCCTGGTGCATGAGCAGGGAGCTGGATTGCAAGGGGAACCGCCAGAAATCAAACCAGTGCTCTTTTATGGGATGCCAGCAGCTTAATCACAGTGCCAGGCCCAAGATGTCCTAATTCTTTTTTTTTTTTTAAGATTGATTTATTTATTTGAAAGGCAGAATTACACATAGAGAGGAGAGGCAGAGAGAGAGAGAGAGAGAGAGAGAGAGAGAGAGAGAGGTCTTCTATCTGCTAGTTCACTCCCCAACTGGCCACAACAGCTGAAGCTGTGCCAAACCAAAGCCAGGAGCCAGGAGCTTCTTCCAGGTCTCCCACGCGGGTGCAGGGGCCCAAGGACTTGGGCTATCTTCTACTGCTTTCTCATGCCATAGCAGAGAGGCAGATCGGAAGTGGAGCAGCCAGGACATAAACCAGAGCCTATAGGAGATGCTGGCACTGCAGCTGCCTTACCTGTTACATCACAGTGCCGGCCCCAAGATGTCCTAATTCTGATGCAATATACCTGATACTGAGTTTTTACTAAAGATTTTAGGAAAATAATTAAATCTAATTCATTCAAAAGAACAAGTGTTTTTTAAGATTTATTTATTTATTTGAGAGGTAGAGTTACAGAGAAAGGGAGAGATAGAGAAAGGTCTTCTATCTGCCAGTTCACTCCCCAAATGGCTGAAATGTCTGGAGCTGGGCCAGTCTGAAGTGAGGAGCCAGGAGCTTCTTCCAGGTCTCCCACACAGGTGCAGGAGCCCAAGTACTTGGGCCATCTTCCACTGCTTTCCCAGGCCATAGCAGAGAGCTAGATCAGAAGAGGAGCAGCCAGGATTTGAACCAGTGCACATGAGGTGCTGGTGCTGCAGGCAGCAACTTTACCTGCTATGCCACAGCAGCAGCCTTAGAATGAGCTTTTTATTACCTGGCTATATTATTATTTTCCTACCAACTATTTGCAGGCCCAGAGCGTCTGTATAGTCAGATAGATAGGGGAAGTTAAACTCTTTACTAGCTGAAGTTCCTATCACTATATTTTCCACCAGTATAAGATTTTTGGGTAGCAGACATAGTTTTCCCAACATAATGTAATGGTTAAAAGAATGAGTATTACAATAAATAGGGGGGTGCAGCATGGTGGTGTAGCAGGTAAAGCCACCTGCAATGCTGGCATACCATACGGTTACCGATTCACATCCTAGTTGCTCTGCTTCTGATCCAGTGCACTGATTATGGCCTTGGAAAAGCAACAGAAGATGGTCCAAGTGTTTGGGCCTCTGCAACCCATGCTGCAGACCTGGAAAAAATTCCTGGCTGCTGGTTTCAGCCTGGCCCAGCCCAAGCTGCTGCAGCCATCTGGGGAGTGAACCAGTGGATGGAAGATATCTCTCTCTCTCTGTGTGTCTCTCTCCCTTTCTCCCTCCTTCCCTCCCTCCCTCTGACTTTCAAATAATATTTTAAAAAAGAAGCACAGGTATCAAAATAAGTTGGAGCTGCATTCAAATTCCTATTCTGTTATAAACAAGGAGTTATACTCTTGGGCAAATTACAATTTTTCCAATTTACAAAATGGAGTTGTTACCTGTATCTCCCATTAAATCCCTGAAATCTAAAGAATATTATTATTAGTTCTTTATTTAAAACTTTCTCACCTGAAGTGGCAAGCCATCCTGGTCATTTTTGAAGTCATGATCAAACACAACAGCAGCCAGCACACGAGCAGACTTTTCACGCTTAATGTAACTCTCAAACTCTTTTTCTGAAGCAAAGCCTTGAACTGTAAAGAGACATATGTTATCCACACATATGTCAAATGTCTTATGATCAAGCTTTACTATGAATAGCATAAATCCTATACTATAAATTTCAAAACATTATTACTTAAACATTGACATCACTGACCACCTTGACCATATGAGGTACACAAAAACAAGATAAACATATAACATAAAAACAAATTCTGGTAAACAGTATAAAAGAAATTTAGTTAGACAGTGTATATACACAAACCAAAAACAGCCTCCCACACGCTAATATAGAATATCTTCATGAATCTGAAGTAGGAAAATTTTTTTAAACTTGAAAAAGATAGACAAAATAGGCTTTACTAAAATTAGCAATCACTGTTCTTCAAAAGATACCACTAAGAGTAGAAAGGCAACACACAGAATGAGACAGCTTATAAGCAATATCTACAATCAACAATAAATATGTAAATAACTCCTATAATGCAAAAAGAAAAAATTAAAATTAACAAAAAATCTTAACAGGCTTGTCACAGAAAAAAGCAAAACAGGATATCCAAATATCCAATGATGTTGTGAAAATGTGTTCAATTAAATCAATAATCAGAATAAAATCAAATTGAAATTACAATGATTCTACTGCACACTGGCTATAATTTTGTGAAAATATATCTGTATTTGTATCCATTAAATGAAAAATATTAAGATTGTCCTTGGGGCTGGTGCCATGGCTCACTTGGTTAATCCTCTGCCTGTGGCACCTGCATCCCATATGGGCGCTGGGTCCTAGTCCCGGTTGCTCCTCTTCCAGTCCAGCTCTCTGCTGTGGCCTGGGAAGGCAGTGGAAGATGGCCCAAGTGCTTGGGCCCCTGCACCCACATGGGAGACCAGCAGGCACCTGGCTCCTGGCTTCGGATTGGCACAGAGCTCTGGCCAGCCGTAGCGGCCATTTGAGGAGTGAACCAATGGAAGGAAGACCTTTCTCTCTCTCTCTCTCTCTCACTGTCTGTAACTCTACCTGTCAAATAAATAAATAAATAAATATCTTTAAAAAAAAAGACTGTCCATTTGCTATATAAGCAAAAACATATAATTTGACCTACAATTTTAAGTTACTAATGCTGTCTTCTCTATCTCTCGTTTTTAACAGAATACAGGAAATCTGTCCCTCCATATGTGTATTTATAATCTGGTGATACATAGGCAGGTGCTCGCTTCCATTTTCAAACACATGGTGGCCATAGAGGCCATTTGGGGGGTGAACCAATGGAAGGAAGACCTTTCTCTCTGTCTCTCTCTCTCTCTCTAACTCTGCCTGTCAAAAAAAATAAATAAAATAAAATAAAAAACAAACACATGGGAGGCTGAGCTTACATAAACTCCTTTTGCTTAAAACTAATAAAAATTCTGTGTAAAACTTAACACAACACATAGCTAGTAATAAAAACAAAATAAAAAAAAGAAAAGGAGAAAAGAAGAGAAAGAGTGAAATATCTAGGTTCCATAAATGAAAAAGGGAAAGTTAAATATCTCATTTCTATTCTCTATTTTCTCAAATCCTACACTTTAGGAATAGGCAAATATTAGTTTTAACAAATATAAAAATTTCTTTTATATTTTTTATTATTTTATCTGAGGCAGGCAATTGGTGCAAAAGTTAAAACACTGTTTGGGGTACCGTATCCCATATTGGAGTGCCTAGATTGGAGTTCTGGCTCCACTTCCAATTCAAGCTTCCTATTAATGCACACCCTGGGAGGCAGAAGGTAATGGCTAAAGCAGTTGGGTCCCTGACACCAGTGTGGGAGATCCAGATTGAGTTCTGGGCTCCTGGCTTCATTCTGGTCGATTCCCAGTTGTTGCAGGCAATTGGGAGTAAAACAGGGGATGGAAACACACACTCTTTCCCTCTCCCTTTCAAATAAAATGCTATTCAGAATCTTTTGTAACTCCAGATGAATTTTTAAATTGTCTTTTCTTTTTCTACAGTAAAATGACAGTGGAATTTTTCATAGGATTAACTCAATTTGTAGATTGCTTTGGGGTAAACATCTTAACAATATTAATTATTCCCACACATAAATATGAATATATTTCCATTTTTGTGACTTCAATTTCTTTCACAAATATTTTACTGTTTTCTCTATATAGGTCTTTCACATTCTAGGTTAAATTTATCCCTGAGTATTTTATTCTTGTTGATTCCATGGTAAATAATATTGTCTTCTTGATCTCCTTTTCTAGTCATTGTTGGTATAAAGAAATAGAATTAATTTTATATGTTGAGTTTATACTACAGTCTTAATGAATTAATTTATCAATTTTTATATGGAATCTTTAAGGTTCTCTACACACAGAATCAAGTCATCTGCAAAGAAAGGCAATTTTACTTCTGCCTTTTTGCTTTTTTCTTGTCTGATTGTTCCTGCTAGTACTTCAAGCTCTATACTGAATACAAGTAGTGAGAGTGGGCATCCTTCTTGGGATCTTAGAGGAAAAGCTGTAAGTTTTTCTCCATTCCTCAAGATGTTATCTGTTCATTTTTTCAATAAATTGTCTCTGTTGTGGTGAGGAAATTTCCTTCCATGCCTATTTTTTGGACCTTTTATCATTAATGGATGCTGAACTTTGTCAAATGCTTAATTTTTTCATACATGCAGATAATCATATTGTTTTTATACTTCATTCTATCGATGCGTTGTCTGTTGCTGTGGATTCATTCTGAGAGGAGGAGCGTGGTGGGGGCAAGAGATGCGGAGTTGCCACACAGACCCCGGGAGTTGGGAGAAAGTGGGCCAGAGGTGAGCAGCCCGCAGACTCATTTATTTCAGTTGGTACAGCAGCTTATATAGTCGAGGCAGCCAATCTGGTCAAGGAGCAGTTTATGCTCTAACCAATCACTGCCTGTTGCCAGGAAGGCTCCGTTGCCAGGTGGTTTCCCAGGGGGTTTCTGAAGCCACTCCTGAGTAACTGATGCTCGCTTGCCAGTGGCCATCTTGGCATGGCCTTCTAATTCCATCACAGTTGTCCAGACTGATTTATGTATGTTAAATCAATATTGCATCCCAGGTATAAATTTTACTTGGCTATGGCATATAATCTATTTAACATGCTAAATTTGGTTTGCTAGTATTATATTGAGTATTTTTGCATCTGTGTTCATCTGAAATATTAACTTGATATCAGGACAATGCTTATATCATAGAATATGTTTGGAAATATTCTTCCACTCATTTTTTGGAAGGGCTAAAGAAGGAATGGTATTATTTGAATATCAGGGAAGTTTTGGTTACTACTTCAGTCTCTTTGCTATTGGTCTGAGCAGGCTTTATTCCAGTCTTGGCAAGTTGTATACTTCTAGTAATTCATTCATTTCTTTTAGGCTATCTGATTTGCTGGTAAATTCATATAATTATTTATAATAGTCCCTTATGATTCTTTTTATTTTTGAGGTAACTATTGTAATGAGTCCTCGAAATTTCATTTGTGTATTCTATTTCTTTCTTAGTCTACCTAAAGGTTTGTTATTTTTGCTTATTTTTTTCAGGAAACCAATTCTGTTTTGTTTCTTTACTTTTTCTCTGCTCTACTTGATTTATTTTGGTTCCAGTGTGTATTATTTCCTTTCAGCTAATCTTGGATTGTTTCTTCTTTTTCTAGTTCATTGATGTATAAAGTTAGGTTATTTTAGAACGTTCCTATTTTTTAATATAGGCACTTATTGCTCCAAATTTTCTCTCTTCACAGTAGGTTTTCATAAATTATGTTTTTATTTGTCTCAAGACAAAGAGCATCATTTACTTCTTTTAGTCTTTACAGACTGGTTTCATCAAGTTAAGTCCATTGCCTATTAGGTTCCAGGCTGATGAAACTGCTTCCAGGAAAATGAGAAATCTATGCACAATTTTTCCATAATACACATTTTCCATGGTTTTTTTGAAGATCCCCTGTATGCACACATGTCAAAAACTTTTGCACTGGGGCCAGTGCAAAAAAAAAAAAAAACAAAAACAAAAACAAAAAACTTTTACACTGTGGTGTGGTGGGTGGAGCCGCCACCTACAATGCAGGCATCACATATGGGCTCTGGTTCGAATCCCAGCTGCTCTGCTTCCAATCCAGCTCTCTGCTACAGCCTGGGAAAGCAGTGGCAGATGGCCCAAGTCCTTGGGCCCTTGCACCCATATGAGAGACCCAGAAGAAGTCCTGGCTCCCAGCTTCAGATCAGCACAGCTCTGGCCATTGTGGCCATCTAGGGAATGAACCAGCAGATCAAAGACACCTCTCTCTCTCTCTCTCTCTCTCTCTCTCTTTGCCTCTACCTCTCTGTGGCTCTGCCTTTCAAATCTTTAAAAATTTTTAAAAAACACATCCCACAACATTAAAAAAAAAACTTTTGCACCAAAATAAACACCTTTTAATTCCATTTTCCACAAATGTTTGAAGCACCCTAATATATTCAACAAAAACTTTGACATTATAATTTCTGACCTTTAAAATTGACATTTAAATCCTTTTTCACCATCTCTATAATATTTTTTGCCACTTCACTCTTAGAAGGCACATATACCAATTCATACTTATGTGGAGTATTCACAAGGAAGTTGGGTAGTTCCACAGGAAGAGGGTTAAAAGTAGAAGCATTACGAAACTGCTTTTTTGCATTGCTGCGTAAGGTCAAAATCATTGCAAAGAACAGAAATATAAAGAGGATTTCCACAGCTAAACCAACTATCTGCCGCCTCTATAAAAGAAAAGAAAGCACTGTGTTAATTAACCTAAAAACATATCTATGTGTATTTATACTGCTGTGTACTCACAACATACACACAATACAAACATATCATTCCTCTTCATTCTACAATAAAAATCTTATACACTGCTGATAGGAATGTAAATTAATACAGCCACTATGAAAAACAGTAAGGAAATTTCTTTAAAAACTGGAAATGGACTTGCCATATGATCAGGCAATCCCACTACTGGGTATATATCCATAAGACATGAACATTGTATCCAAGAGAGATCTGCATTACCATGTTTATAGCAACACTGTTCACAATAGCCAAAACATGGAATCAACCAAGGTATCCATCAACAGATGAATGGATAAAGAAAATGTGGTACATATATACAATGAATATTATTCAGCTATTAAAAAGAGAATGAAATTATACCATTTGCATCAAAATGGATGCAAATGGAGGACATCATGTTGAAGGAAACAAGCCTGACACAGAAGGACAAATACCTCATGTTCTTCCTTATATGTGGGAGCTAAAATTTAAAAATCAAAAAACTAAAAAGAAAGAAATGTCTGTATACTGGTATTGCTGCAAATGCAACTTTATCAAACTTTGTCTTATATCTTTGTCAAAAAGATGGTTAGGAATGATATACTATAGTTTTAATGATCTATGATTATTTTAAGATTTACTATATATGGGTGAAGCTGACATCTTTTCATTTGATTACTGTTCATAGCCTTTATCTATATTGCTGCTGAACTATGGTCTATTACTTCTTACATGCTGAACTCTTTATTTGATGGAGCATTAAATCTTTGACTACAATGTAAATTAAATATGCTATTTCAAAAATTATAAAAAGTAATGGAAGGAAGGAAGGTAGGAAGGAAGGAAGAGTGGGTAGGTGATAGAAGGAAGTATAATTATAGTCTTAGAATTATTTAAGAACTACATTAAATCTTTCCCTTTATATTAATAAAAATTGTGTTCTAAGTGTTAAAAAAAAGAGTGGTTCTCCAGATTGTCTTTCTTTTTTACTTATTATTCATCCTATTGATTGGCCCTATGAGTATTCTACACATTTAGGAACTGGAAGTCATTATGTTAACCAAAATAAGCCAAGCACTGAAAGACAACTATCAGACAATCTCACTCAAAAGGGAGCATAAAAATGCTTACCTTACAGAAGTTACAGTGTAATGGTTATCACAGGATAGGGTGGGATGGGAAAAGGATGACTAAAGGGAATTAACTTATGATAAGATAGAAGTAATAATTAAAAAAAGAAATAATAAGTTCTGGTCTCCCGTTGCACAGTCAGATGACTGCAGATAATGTACTATGTATTTCTCAAAAAAAAAAAAAAAAACTAGAAGAGATTATTTTGAATATCTTCAACATTAAGAAATGTTCAATGTTTAAGGAGACAGACCTTTTTTGCCCTGAATTAAACATTATGCACGCACATATGTGGAGAAATAATGTACAGTAACCCATAAATATGTACAATTTTTAAATGTGAATTTAAAAGAAAAGAAAAAATAAGTACTACCTCTCACCTTGGAGCAAAAGAAAAAAGAAGCTGAAATGAAGTGAACATCCTACTTAAAAATTCCCCTTAGGTTTCATTAGCCTTTTCAACCATTTCCCAACGAGTTCTCCACTCACCTTTAAAAGAAAATTTTTCCAGAGGAGGGCTGAAAATTGCATGGGCCATGATGAACTCATTTGATCTTAAACAATGGAAGCTCAACTTTTAGGAAGAAAGTTTAATACAGTTTAAGTTACCTGAAAAAATATAAAATTTAATGAATTAAAATAAATATTTCACTGTTCTACTATTGTATTTTTATTTGACAGACAAATAGAGAGATCTGAAGCCAGGAACCAGGAATTCAATCCAAGACTCCCAAATGGGTAGCAGGAATACAGTTGCTGGAGTCATTGCTATGCCTCCCAGGGTCCACATTAGTCAGGATTTAGGGTCTCATATCCAATTCAGGCAATTCAATATGGGATGCAATTACTTTACCTGATGTCTTACCCACTAAGCTAAACACCAGCTCTGACTTTTATTTCATTTATTTGAAAGGTGGAATTACAGAAATAAGAGGAAAGGGAGATTGATTATATCTGTTGGTTCACTCCCCAAATGGTTCCAACAGCCAGGTCTGGTCCAGGCCAAAGCCAGGAGCCAGGAGCTTCTTCTGGATCTCTCATATCGGTACAGGGACCCAAGAACTCGGGACATCCTCAACTGCTTTCCCAGGTGCGATAGCAGTAAGCTGGATCAGAAGTGGAGCAAGCAAGACTTAAACCAGTGCCTATATGAGACACTGGAGATACAGGCAGCAGTTTAACCTGCTACACCACAGCACTGGGCCCTGTTCAGTGTTTTTTTTGTTTTTAAAGATTTATTTATTTATTTGAAGTCAGAATTACATAGAAGGCTGGCGCCGCGGCTCACTAGGTTAATCCTCCGCCTTGCGGCGCTGGCACACCGGGTTCTAGTCCCGGTCTGGGCGCCGGATTCTGTCCCGGTTGCTCCTCTTCCAGGCCAGCTCCCTGCTGTGGCCAGGGAGTGCAGTGGAGGATGGCCCAAGTCCTTGGGTCCTGCATCCCATGGGAGACCAGGATAAGTAACTGGCTCCTGGCTTCAGATCAGCGTGGTGCACCAGCCGCGGCGGCCATTGGAGGGTGAACCAACGGCAAAAAGAAAGACCTTTCTCTCTGTCTCTCTCTCTCTCACTGTCCACTCTGCCTGTCCAAAAAAAAAAGAATTACATAGAGAGAGAAGGAGAAGCAGAGAGAGAGAGAGATCTTCCATCTGCTGGTTCACTCCCCAATTGGCCGCAACAGCGGGAGCTATGCCGATCCAAAGCCAGGAACCAGGAGCTTCTTTCGGGTCTCCCACACAGGTGCAGAGGCTCAAGGACTTGGACCATCTTCTACTGTTTTCCCAGGCCATAGCAGAGAGCTGGATCGGAAAAGGAGCAGCCAGGACTTGAACTTGCACCCATATGGGATGCCAGCACTGCAGGCAGCAGCTTTATACCCACTACACCACAGCACCAGCCCCTGTTTTGTTTTTTAATCAATTCTGAAAGATAATAAAAAATGCTTGAAATAACTGTTTGTCTGATACTATACATCATATTAATGATTAAATGTATGCCCAAAGGACTTCTAATATGTATGAGGACATTAGGCAATAGTGATGCAAACATAAGCAAGTTGCAGCTTATTTTCACAAAGAAAGATGAAAAGTATAAGAGCAGGCATTATAGTGTAGTGGATTAAGCACCTCTTGGGATGCCTGCAGGCCATCAGAGTGTCAGTTCAAGTTCAGCCTACTTTTCTTCCAACCCAGCTTCAAGCTATTTCCCATGAGAAGGCAACAAATGATGGCCAAAGAGCTTGGCTACCTGCCACCCACATGGGGAGATCTAAATAGAGTTCTGGGTTCCTTGTTTCAGCTTGACCAAGCCCCAGAGGCTGTGGCCATTTCAGGAATACACCAGTGGATGGAAGATGTTTCTCTCACTGTCTCTCCTTCTGTTGCTCTGCCTTTCAAATAAATAAATAAATAATTTTTAAAAGAAAGATACAAAATATAAATACAGCATATCACTTATTATTTGGATAGGCTCTGAGATAAAGCCTCACAAATTACAATGCTGAATACCAACTAATTTTTTTTACTACCTACTCTGTGTCATATCCTGTGCTAAATATTAGGTCAATTCAAAGCAATCATGACCTTTTCCTCCTAACTGTGACAGTGTGGTACAGTGATTAAGAATCTAGTGTCCATGGATGTGAGGGCGATCTGGCCACACATCTGTCACCCCATTGGTCGCCAAGGTTGATTCAGCTGATCTGGGTGGCTAGGCGGGTGTCCCCTTCATTCCTTGCCGCTCTATGTCCATCCCTCCTGAAGCTGCACACTCGGTCGAAGAGGACGACCTTCCCCGCTACAGGAGGACCAGTCTTCGGTCAAGGGTATACAAGTAGCTGCACTCCCCTGCTACAACTTCCAAACAAGCTCTCAAGAATCTAGCATCTGAACATAGGCTGCTTGAGTTCAAATCCTAACTCCTGAAATAAGTCAGTCCCAAATATCATATGTTCTCCCAGATCTGTAACAACTGAGCAGCTAAAAGAAAACCTGTAGAAGTGAAACTGACACTATGAGAAGCAATGACTTGATCAGCCCTTGCCCTGACTGTTGAGGAACATCTTAGCATTTTATTCTTCTTAGCATTTTCTTTTTCTACTTAATACCATTGGTTGAACTCTTTACTTAACACAGAATTAATCTTAGGTGTTTAAATTCAATTGAAAATTGATCCCTGTTAAAAATAAGAGTGGGAATAAGAGAGGGAGGAGATGTACAGCTCGGCACACATTCCCTTGGACTTACCCCTAAGGGTAAAGCTAAAAACTTGCCATGGGACTCCAAATCCCATTAAATTGGCAGGTACCAATGCCATCTTACTAGTTAAAGTGATCAGTTTAAGTTCATAACTTATTGGGGCTGGCGCTGTGGCACAGTAGGTTAATCCTCCACCTGCAGCGCTGGCATCCCGTATGGGTATTAGTTCTAGTCCCGACTGCCCCTCTTCCAATCCAGCTCTCTGCTATTGCCTGGGAAAGCAGTACAAGATGGCACAAGTCCTTGGGCCCCTGCACCTGCACGGGAGACCAGGAGGAAGCTCCTGGCCCCTGGCTTCAGAATGGTGCAGCTCCTGTTGTTGTGGCCATCTGGGGAGTGAACCAACGGAAGGAAGACCTTTCTCTTGGTCTCTCCCTTTCACTACCTCTAACTCTACCGCTCAAATAAATAAATAAAATCCTTTAAAAAATAAAAAAAGTTCATAACTGATCATAAAGATAGGATTAAATGTCAAAGGGATCACATAACTAAGACAAGTGTCTAATAATAATTGATAGAATTAAAAATGAGAGAATGATACAACATGGGAAGCAGGACACACAGCAGACTCAAGGAATGACAAATGTCCTAAACAGCACTCTGGCTTCAGAATCAACCCTTAAGGCATTTGGATCCGGCTAAAAAGCCCATGAGAGCATTTCAGGCATGGAAAGCCAAGACACTGACAAAAAATGACCTAAGTGAAATATCTCTGTGAGATCCCAGTAGAAAGAAGGGGCCATCAAAGGAGGTAACTTTCTCTGAAGGAAGGGGAGAACTTCCACTTTGACTATGGCCTTGTCTAAATAATGTCAGAGTTTGTGAACTCAAGAAGCTTCTATAGCCTTGGCAGCTCATGACAAGAGCCTTGGGTGATCACTGACGTCATAAATAAGAGTGTCAACTATTAAATCAACAACTGGAGTCACTGTGCACTTGCTTCTCATGTAGGACCTCTGTCCTTAATGAGTTGTACTATGATAATTAACGGTAAAACTAGTCCTCAAACAGTGCTTAAATTTTGTGTGTCTGTGTGGGTGAAAACTGTTGAAATCTTTTAGTATAGAGTTGATCTTCTGTATATAAAGATAATTAAAAATGAATCTTAATGAAGAATGGGATGGAAGAGGGAGTAGAAGGCGGGATGGGAGTGGGGGTGGGAGGGTAGATATGAGGGGAAGAACCACTATAATCCAAAAGCTGTACCTATTAAATTTATATTTATTAAATAAAAGCTTTCTTAAAAATTTTAAAAATAACAACAAATAAAACCCTTAGAACATGAGGATAAATCTTCATTATCTGGATTTAGCAATGCATCCCTAGATAGAAAACATCAGAAGAAAATAGGCTTCATCAAAATGAAAAGTTCTTGAGTACGATCAAGAAGACGCAAAGATAACCCAAAAAATAAAGCATTGACAAATCGTACATCTGATAAGTGTTTCATATCTTGAATATATACTCTATAACTCAACCACAAAAAGATAACCCAATTAAGTAATGGACACAAGAATCTAAATAAATATTTCTCCAAATTATACAGATTACTGTTAAGTACACAGAAAAAATGATTGACAAAACAAATTATTAGAAAAATGAAAATTAAAAGCACAATGTGATGCTACTTCACATCCCATTAGGCTGAGTACAATAAAGCAAAATGTAAAATAAGCACAGGTGAGAACTTGGAAAACTGGAACCCTCACTCACTGATGAAAAAACTGTAACATGACACATGGTAATTCCTCAGTTAAACATAGAATTACTCTCCAATTCCATTCCTAGATATGTACCCAGGAGAGTAAAAGACAGATGTTCATACAAAAACACAGAAATATTCATAGTAACATTATTCATAGTCAAAAATGACCTAAAAGCCCATCAAATGAAACAAATACACAAAAGGCAGTACATCTCTCAATGGAATATCATTTGCCTTATAAAAGAATGAAGTACAGACACACGCTACAACATGCAGAAACCTTGAAGACATGCGAGGAGGCAACCACTACACACAAAAGGTGATATATGATTCTACTTCTATAGAATGTCCAGAATTCACAACCTAGGCCACCAAAAAGCAGATGTGGGATGGCAGTGAAGCTAGAAATGAAGGGTGACTGCTTAATGAATACAGGGTTTATTTGGGGGGGGAGATAATGAAAATGTTCCAGAAGTAGACAGTGGCGATGGTTGCCCAGTCCTATGAATGTAATAAAAGCCAGTAAAGTATACACTTCAAAAGGATATATATATATATTTAAAAAAAAGCTAAATTCATGTGATTTGAATTTCATGTCCAATGTGAAGTAATGCTATAACTAGTACTGAAACAGTATTTTACACTTTGTGTTTCTGTGTGGGTGCAAACTGATGAAATCTTTACTTAATATATACTGAATTGATCTTCTGTATATAAAGAGAATTGAAAATGAATATTGATGTGAATGGAATGGAAGAGGGAGCAGGAGATGGGAGGGGTGTGAGTGGGAGGGAAATTAGGGGGGGAGCCATTGTAATCCATTAACTGTACTTGGAAAATTTATATTTACTAAATAAAAAATTAAAAAATTTCTAAAAAAAAAAAGAAAAAGAAAAACTCTGAGAGCTAAAACGTTATTTCTACATAGTAGATGAGACCCAGAGGTCAAGCCCGTTGGTTCCAGCTAGATTAGAGCCAAAATATAAGCACACCTCCCAGGTCCTTCTATCCGACCACTGAGTTACAACCTGCCAAAGTTGTCATCGCAAGGTGGAGTCAGGCGTCCAAAGGGCCAGGAGCTTAGGAAGGGAACGTCCTCTCGCACAGGCGCTAGTAGCAAATGATTCCCTGATGGGCTCTTTTGCTCATGGACCCGTATCAAAAACTCACGACAAGGGTTCCCAAACAGTCCCTTGCTACGCGACCAGCAGAACAGCCAGCCAGATACACAAGACCCAGTCCCCACTCAGGAAGTCAACTTCTGCGACCCAGAAAATAAATAAAACTCAACCCTAAGTCCCTAGCGGGTCTCTCTTTGTCTTTGTCAGGTGTATGGGGGGGGGGGGGGCGTCCTTTCAGTCCTAGAGGCCAGAGCAGGGCCACCACTGGTCAGGGAGGAAGGGCCCCCAGGACGGCCCGCACACTCACCACTGAACAGTCGCTACCGCCACCTCCACCACCGCCTCCGCCGCTGAGGGGCGCGCGTCGACCGCGCGCGGCGCCTCTTCCCAACGCCCTCCCAACCGCCCCGCCGCGCAGGCGCCCCGAGGGCCGCTGTGCGCGCTCAGCCTCGCGCGCGCCCACCGAAGGCGCGAGCCTGGGGACGCGCGTGAAGCGGAGGAGCCGGCTGCGCGCGAGGCCGGGCGGCGGGCGCGGGCGCGGGCGCGGGCGCGGGCGCGGGCGCGGGCGAGGGCGCAACCCGAGGGTGTCCTCGGCGCCAGAGCCCGCCATCCCCGGCCGCACTTACTTACCTTCCTGGGCATCCTCCCGCTTCTCCTGACTCACCGCGCACTGCGCAACGTGGGAATTTAGAGGGTGAAAATGCACCTTGGCGGCAAAGTGAAATGGCCAAGCGACTCAGTGAAGACAAATGTTTCAATACAATATTTTTTAAAATTTTTAGATAAAATACTTTGAGTATAAAAGTCCAATGATGGTTCTATATTGAAACCTGAAGTGAAAAGAGAAATCAGAAATTCTGATCCTGGCTCTATTGAAAATTTTATGATTCATGGATTTTTTTGTTTGCCATTTGGGTTTTTTTTTTCTTTTTTTGCACATTGCATTAAACGGTTTTATTTTACTATTTAGCTTGAGTCCTGAGTATTTTGTGTACTCAATATGTCCCATGTATTTTGTGCAGTGGGTGAGTACCTAAGTCACGGACTTGCTGTGCCCTTGTAACAGCTCCATATGTATGGTGACAGCAGAAGTCTAGGGAGGTGCAAGTGACCACCTCCTCACTAGACTGTTGGAAGTTAGCCTGGAAGCCCAGAGGCACAGGCCCTGGGCCCTCCCAGGACAAGGCCCAGGGGAGAATGGGGAAGGGGCAGTTACACCAGCTTTCTGGGTGCCAGCCCCTACCTTACAAGTAAGTCTTTTAAGTCATTCTTACTAATGGTAGTTTCCTTATTTTAATAATAAGCCCTCAACAATACCTAGCATTACTTTTTCATATGCTACTTATTAATAATACTTTTTAAATACATACCTGCTAAACACTTGACAAAATGATCGCATTTATGCCTCACCACAACTCTGGGAGGTCTGTTCTAATATTACGGATAATATCTCATTTTACAAGTTGATGAAACAGGATCAGAGTTGTTAAGTCTCTTGTTCAAGATCATCTAGCATGTACCAATGACAGATTCAGATTGAAAGCCAATCTGGCTTAGTAATTCCCAGAGAAGGGCTCTGAACCTGAAGTTCCTAATCCTCTACCTGCAGAGGCTGGAATTTTAGCTGAAACGTATTAGCACTCCAATAAAAATGAAGGAACAAATTGCAGTGGATCACACCAATAGTTAAAGTAGGGAGATAATATAATGATTTCATAAATGTATAATAAACTCTCAACCACCATTCGTGATGAAAGTTCTTTATATCATAGAAGGGTGCTTATTTATGCACCACCCAACAGTGTGCTAACCCTACAACCTGAGCCAAGTGATGTAATGTCTGAGCTCAGTAACCCTTCTTTCCTCTGGAGTATTAGGGACAGGGTATTGTTTATTGTGCAATCCATGTCTTATCAGTCCCCACCGCAACACCAGCTTATACTCCTTGGTGCTGGTCACCTAATATTCTGAACCAACCAATCTTCCTAGCACTAATGCTGCTACTGCCAGCCTGGGGAGGAGAAAGAAGCCATTCCCACCCCATTCCCCCTCCCTTTTATAGGACTTCTTCCCAAAGGTGGTTACAGACCATCAAGTTAGCAACTAAAACCTTATGAGGGCCTAGGTGATGTTACCCAAAGCCTTATAAAGAGGTGATTTGAGGTAATTCACATACCAGTGTGTTTTCTGAGTAGTCATGCATTTATTTCTAGGCAAATTGGAATAGATTGAAACAGCACATGAATTAATTATGTTTGCTTATTTACCCTCAACTGAAGCCAAAGACAGAAGTGTAATTTTAACAAAGTATAATAAATAAATAACAGAAATGTCATGAGGTATTGGAGCCACCACAGAACCTGGTGGGTAAACTCTTGCTATATGTGGTCAATTAAGAATTATCTGACCTGCTCAAATGGTGTGAATACTATCCCAGACTAAAAGTATTGCATAAGTTTCATTTTTAAAATGCTCTGGAGTCTTGAGATACTTAGTTTCAGTGCCTCTGGTCCCAACACAGCTGATGTAACCAAGATCAATTTTCTCAGTGCTAGTTTGCTGCAAACTTGGGTGATATCACTCAAAGCTTTATAAGAAGGTGACTTGAGGTACTTTGTAGACTAGCCCTGCTCCTACAGGATTTGCTCAAATACTGGAGCTCACTATTTAATCAGAGTTAAATTCCTTATTTCACAATGGAAGCAAATAAATACCTGGCTTTCCTGTTTCATATCTATTCGTTGGATTGATGAGTACTTCTTTTTTTTTGTTCTCAGTGAACCAATTTTTCTTTATACCTATCTGTTTTTAAAGTGAAATCAGCTTTTCCCAACTACTGCCATCTTCTGTCTTTGGTAATACTATATAAGAGGTAGATTTATTATGTGGTTACTCTGTGTCATGCTAAATACTTTCCATATAATTTCTTATTTCATTGGCACATATTCTTGAAAGGTACTTCTACACTGTCTTTTACTATGATGTCACCATTCCTGAAGAAATGTCCTATGTATCTTCCACCCAAAGTACTGGGGAACCACTCCCACCTCCTGACCTTTCTCTCCTCTTGCTCACCTGTTTCATCCCATACATTGGCACAAAGACCCATGTTCCTAAACGTTAAACCTCTTTGAGCATGTACTGTTTCTGAAGAATCACTCTTCTCAAGAATTCTCCAGTTCTATCTCTGGTTGCTTCTAGGCATCAGCCCCTCTGTTCTACCCCAGCTCATCTGGAAACTCACTGACTCCAAGGACTAAGCAACATTCCTTCCACTCTTGGGCTCCATCTGGCCTGAAATGCCCTCCTCCTTCCTTTTGGCTAGGGTAGCTAAATGGTTAGAACGCCACAGGTGAAGCCTGCCACCTCTGCTGACTTGCTGGGTGACTTTGAACAAATTCTTCCCCCTCTCAGAGCTTCAGATAGACTGCACGGCACCTACATGCCTCAGAGGTTGTTGTACAACTAAATGAGATGATGTACAAAAAATGCATTGGTACTTAGTACCAAAACGCACTTGGTACTTAGTAAAGATCAATAATAACCTGTTGTGGTTATTGTTATTTCAAGTGTTGGTTTTTCTTGCTCCTTTATGACACCATTGTATGACCACTTCAGGTCAAAGTAATTTTTTTTTTTCCAAACCACTTACTTTTCTTAGCACTGATTTGGCAAGGAGGGTTTCCTGCTATGCAGCGTTAGTTACATGTTGTGCCTGTGCTATGTTATTTCTCCAATTCAAGTACGGTAGAAACTCCTTGAAGAAAAGACCCTGCATTTTGGCTCTTTGGGTGACACCTTGCCCTGGGTGAAGGTTAGCTAGGTTAATTAGCCTGAGAGAAAAGGGTGGCGGTGGGGTGGGGGAAAGGGTTATTGGGATTAGATTCCAGGAGGGGACAGGGACAGAACTGAAAGGGATTAAGAGCCCTCTGTCTCCTTTCATCTAAGATCTCCTAGCAGCAGGCAATAATTTAAAAAGTAAGAGAGCCCCTCCATCCTGTGTCCCTTCTCACCCACCACTTCTCCCCAGGACAGGCGACCAAGACGGCAAGACTGCGACAAATACTAACATTTCAAGGAATGTGGCTACTACAGCTGATCACAGGAATTGAGAAAGTGGACTCAAGTATACCAACTCCCAGCCTGCTTCCTCGATTCCATCCCTAGCTCGGGGTGGTGGGGGAGGGACCGATCCCACGCACTCTAAGGAGTCGGGGTGGGCAGAGGGGGCGGAGTCAGGCCTGAGGGGTGGGGCGGCTTTGCCCCGCCCCGGGAGGCTGGGCAGTGACCGGTAGGCGTCTCCGCAGCGCTGCGGGGCCCTCTCATATAAAGCACAGCCAAAGGAAAGTAAATCGCAGTGCCCAAGCTGAGGGTAGAAAGTAGGCGGCGACATGAGCCGGGCGCCAGCGTTCTTGAGCGCGGCCGAGGTGCAGGAGCACCTCCGCAGCTCCAGCCTCCTCATCCCGCCCCTGGAGGCAGCCCTGGCCAACTTCTCCAGCGGCCCCGACGGAGGGGTCATGCAGCCCGTGCGCACCGTGGTGCCGGTGGCCAAGCACAGGGGGTGAGTGCAGGAGGCCACCCCGGGGTGGGTGCTGGGGGGTGAAGGGAGGTGGTGAGTAAGGAAGGCCAGGACTAGAGGCAGGAAAGGAGGAAGAGGAGGAACGCTAAGGGGAGGCTTGGGAGAAAGGAAGAGAGGGCTTGCTTAGTTATTGCTAATTAGCAACTGCCACTTAATCATGCACTCTCCACTGTGCCAAGTTGGCGCTTTACAGGTGTCACCTCGTTTAATTCAACACATTCCCCCACATAAGCGGGTACTGATGTCACCGCTTTGCAGGTGGAAAGCAGACCCGGAGAGGTTAATTGACTTTCCCAAGCTGACACAGCTCGGAAGTAGCAGAGCTGGGATGATTTTCCCATCCAGAGCCACACTGTGGAAGGGAAGGGCAGAGGAATGGCCAGATGGGAGAGTGCCGGTGGAGCAGGGATGGAGGAGTGAGAGAGGAGGGTAGAGGAGAATTGATAGGAGACCTCAGCATGGATGGGAAAGGGTTGAAGCTGCTCTCCCTCTCCTTGTAGCTTCCTGGGGGTCATGCCAGCCTACAGTGCAGCAGAGGATGCTCTGACCACCAAGTTGGTCACCTTCTATGAGGGACACAGCGCCACCTCCACTGTCCCCTCCCACCAGGCTACTGTGCTACTCTTTGAACCAAGCAACGGATCCCTGCTGGCGGTGAGCAACTCCCTGGTGTGGGGGTGGGGGGTGGGCTGGTTTCAGATCTCAGATGAGAAGTTAGTCCTCCATGAGTAGGGGGAGTTCTGACCATGACCACATATGCCTCCCCCCACCATGATTGGATATCCATGACAATGAAACTTATCTGTGACCATGTCTCTGTTCATACGACTGCTTAAAGATGCCATCAGCACCAGAGCCCACAGCTGCAGCCAGAGTGCTGCAGTGTGGAAATAATACTCAGTGATCACATCCTTCTTGCCTATGTTCTTGTCGTGGACTCAGATACACAGTTTGAACTAACCCGGTAGGACGGAAACATTTTTAATGACTCCCTATCAACATGGAGAGGAAAGGGTGTTCCGTGGTCTGTGGGAGTCTTTTCTGAGCTGTGTGCAGTGGCCTGTTGCAGGAGCTCACATTCACTGGGTATTTTTTAGGTGGCAGGCACTTTTCCAAACACCTCACATATGTTAACCCACTTAATACTGAAAACCACATTATAAATTAGGTAATAACATCACCCACACTTTACAGATGTGGAAGCTGGGTCATGGGGCAACTATGCCAACGTACCCAGATTGAAGTAGCTAGTAAGTGTGAAGGCACTGTAAGTAGTTCATGTGAAATGCATCTTATTAAAAAAAAAAACTGCATGTGTTCATCTCGGAAAACTTTTTTATAAAGATTTTTTATTTATTTTCCTTGAAAGTCAGAGTTACACAGAGAGAGAAGGAGAGGGAGAGAGAGAGAGAAAGAGAGAGAGAGAGGTCTTCCATCCGATGATTCACTCCCCAGATGGCCGCAATGGCCGGAGCTGCACCGATCCGAAGCCAGGAGCCAGGAGTTTCTTCTGAGTCTCCCATGTGGGTGCAGGGGCCCAAGGACTTGGGCCATCTTCCACTGCCTTCCCAGGCCATGGCAGAGAGCTGGATCAGAATAGGAGCAGCCAGGACTAGAACTGGTGCCCATATGGGATGCTGGTGCTTCAGACCAGGGCATTAACACACTACACCCCAGCGCTGGCCCCTCAAAAAACTTTTAAAAATTATTCTCTTTTAATTTTACTTTCTACCAACTTTTTAAAGGATCTTCGTGGCATTGCTAGGCTTCACACCTGCCCAGTCTGAGTCCACAGCCTTTACCATCTTGAGACCATACTGCCTGTTCAGTTGTCACTTATTGAGCCCTTATTATCAGCCAGGCAGGAGATATTATTGATCACAATACAATTATGACAAATTCCTCAATAAAAGTTTTTGTTATCTCCCCTTCCCAATTTCTGGTGAGGTTGCTGAGGCTTGGATTAGTGAAACCACTTTGCTTGAGCTCCTGGTAACTGAAAGACCCAGGAATCACTGCTAGACTGTCTACCGTGGAGCTGGTACTCTAATTCTTGTGTTCTGTGTTCTATAAACTGGCTTATGGATCCTCCTTCCTTCTTCCTTGAATTTCTGGATCCCCAAGGAATATGTTTGTTACTCTAAGCAGAAAAGCTAGCTCTACCTGATCTGTGCTCATCCAATTAAGATGCCATCCAAACTACCTACCTGTAGGACCTGGGTCTTTGAAACTTGACCACAAGGCCTTAGCTCCTTGCCCAATCTGCTCAGTAGCTAGGTGCTTCAGCTAGCTACTTTTTGAGGGTCAACTGGGATGGATAACTTATTATGAGACAACAGTGCAAAGAGTGATTATTAACATCATCCATGCATAATTCTCAACCTTCACTAGCAGAATCACCTAAGAAGCTTTTAAAAATAAGTATGCCTGCATCCTACCCTCAGAGACTCAGATTCAGTTGATCTAAGGGTGGTGTTGGAATATCTATTTCTTCACAGATTCCCCACATTGTAGCATAAGTTGAGAATCACTAAGGTAGCACTCCACGCTCCCTCCCCAAATGTCAATGACAATCATATTCCACAAGCCTCCCCCCTCCCTTACTTTGGTGTTTTAAGAGCATGAAAAAAAAGGGGGGGGGGGCAAATTCTGAGGGCCCACCATGTACTGGATGTTTCCATATGGGCCAGTGCATTTGGACTCACATTAACCCTCAGACTGGTTGGGATTATTTTGTTTCTATAGACAAGGAAACCAATGCTTAGAGACTAAAATGTTCAACATTACCTATCAACAAGTGGAGGACTTCAATCCAAATCTGTTTCCAAGGTCAAGTATTTTGTAGGATTCTGTAACACTTCCTAGAGCTGCTTTTTCAGAACCACATCTGTCAGTCTAAGGGGTGGATGGGGATGACCTTGCTGACTGTCTCTCCTTCCCTCCAAGGTCATAGATGGAAATGTCATCACTGCTAAGAGAACAGCTGCAGTGTCTGCCATTGCCACCAAGGTAAGATGAGGGCATGGCTGAGCTGTCAGGCTTTGGCTGAGCTGGTGGGTCAAGTTGGGCTGCTCGATCTTGAAAGACTGAAGGAGAAGTGAGGAACTTTTTTTGGTTTTCCTGTAGACATAACTGAGACTCCATATGCCAAGTGTGAAATACCGGGTGAGCACAGTGATTTGTGAAGCTGTTAGCTACCATTTGATGTACATGACCAGATTTCCAGCACCTTGCATGTATCATTCTTTATCTTCCCATCAAAATGATTATCTCCATTTGCTGAGTATAACTGCAGCTCAGAAAGATTGTGTGAGGTTCCCAGGATTGCACAGCTTATAAATGATAGACTTTAATTAAAAACTTGACCTGGTTCCTAGAACTGTGTTTTCACCCCTGTACCAAACGATCCCTGTTAAGACAGGATAATTGCTTCATAGGTCAAAACCATTGCTACACAAGAGGCAGAGGGTGGGCAGAACACTTCTAAGCCAGACTCCTGTACTCATCCAGCCAGTATTGACTGTACTGCAGCAGTGAACACACAGGGGAGGTGGACAACAAACATTTTTAAAAACTTAAACTATGACTTTCTAAAAAAAAAGAATTTAAGAATGTTAATCTTTGTAATAAAACTTAATATATTTAATAATTGCATAATTAATATTTATTAATAAATAATAGTGTGTTCAGATCTTGCTAAAAAATTAAACCAACATAACCACATTGGACATTAGAAGTATGAATATAAAGCAGAATGGAAAGGTGTTGGGTGAGAGGACATTTACAATTGTCCCAGAAAGACCCTATTGAAAAGGTGCCATTTGAGTACAGGCTGCAGGTGGTGTGTGAGTGAACTCTTCAGACACATAGGGGCCACGTCAGGCAGGAGGAACAGCAAGAGCTGGGAGTGATGATGTTTCTAAGCAGCACTGAGGCACTGGGAAAAAAAAAAGATGTTATTTTTAGGGGTTAAAGAAAGGGAGGCTTAGAAAATGGAGTGTCTATGAAATGATTGGAATCTGGAATCTTTCACATTAAATGATGAATACAAGATCTCAGATGCTGCTTTTCCTAAGCAGAATAGAAATGTAGTGAGTAGGGAGTGGAGGGGGAGGGAAAATAGAGCAGCACAAACCAGGTGTTTTAGATTAAATGTCAAGGTTTTCTAAATACACGATGGAAAGAATATGAGGAATAATCTGATAATTGTATATTATGGGAGTAGACTACAGTACCAGCTCAGTAAACTGGTTTTTAATTATATGGAAACCAAATTTAGATCAAAATAAACAAAGACTCCTTGAAAGATGTTTGCAGGTAATTTATGATCAGAATGAATCCTATAATACTGCCTTGCATTTGTAGAGGATGTTGGCTTTTTTAAAAATAATTTCCAACTCATTGTGTGGACTTGGGGTTTTGTGAAGAAGACATGACAGGTATTATTATTGGCCTCATCTTACACGGGAGACTAGGGTCCCCTGAAATAGGGTAAGCAGGTACCTATGGTGTCTCCCAAGCCACATGGTCTTCTTGTCCTAGGTCAGTAGTTTCTTACACAGCTATGCAGCAGCATTACTTGGGAATTTAAAAAAAAAAAATACAGAGTTCCAGAACTACTAAATTGAAATTGCTGGCAGCTAGGTGTAGGAAGCTAGCCTTTTAAAAAATTATCCCTAGTTGATTCTGATGACCAACTAGGTTTGGGAATGCACTGTGGTGGACCCAGCCCTCAGTAACACTAGGCTTTGTTGCATTAAGAAACACCTGCACTCCTAGAAGGGTCCAGAAACCTTGAAGTTTAGTCCTAGCCTTATTCCCTAGGGCTCATGTGGGCTATCTCAATAAGAAACAAAGAGTCTATTTTACTTTTTGCTTTGTTGAATGTTTTCTTGTTCACCTAGTCTCTTTCATTTAAGGCTTTGGAGTATAACAAGTATAGGACACTCTAGGGGTCTGATGTGCACAATAACTTCTTTGTGCTTGGGTTTTATATAACCTTAGTTAAGGATTCTGACATGCTTTTTCTAAGGTGACTTATCCCTCACATGGAATTATTTAACAAATATTTGAGTGTGTTCCAGGTGCCAGGATCTGTGCTCAGTAAGGGACAAAGAATTGAGCAAACCCAGATATATTTATCCATAATATGCTGTAATATTAATCCAAAGATTACACCAGTCAATGTGGAACTACACCCCTGAAAAGTGCTATGAGAGCACCAAATTGGTGATCTATAAAATCCAGGAAGGCTTTTGAGCTCAAATCTGAAGGATAATGGTTCCTCAAGAGAGGTAGAGAGGAAAGCATTCCAGAAAGAAGGAAGAATCTATGCAAAGGATTGACAGAGGCATAGATGCTTCGATCTGGAAGACAGCAAGTGTATAGGGAACATGCATGAGGGTGCTGGGGAGATGGAGGGCCAGATCCTATAAACCTTGGTAAATGCAAGAGAAAGTGGACTTTAGTTATTTAAATAAGAAACCTAGAAGATTCATATACAAGTTCTTTATTAACTATAAACTTATGAGAAAAAAATGAAATGCCACTAATACTGATAAAATTGAATAAGTCTTATAAATATTTATACTATTTAAGAAAAAAGATGTCTGTGATAACATCATTACCAGATCAACAAATTTTCAAGTAAAGCAACCAAGAATTACGGGTTTAATTTCAGAGGTTTAAGGTCACTTTTACAGAATACTGTCACAATTTCTGAAGCACAAATGGGCCTCCACAAATAGATTCATAGTAACCAAGAACAGAAAAAAATAGTAGCAGTTAAGGAAATATTACCTAATTCTTTTTACCAGATAAAAGCATAAAGTGGTGGGTATTATGGATATTTTCATTTTAAAACATTTGCAGATCAGATTTTTTGAACTATATTTCATGGTACAGAATGGCACCACTCCTTCATGTCTGCAAATACTTCCAAGACTTTTGCTAGTAATTCATCGTACAGAAAACTCGCTTTCAAGGTTATACTCCAGAATATCAATGAGTAACATCATGAAAAATGAGAGACTCAAGGAGCTCAAATTTTACTAAATGAAATAGTAAAAAAGCAAAATATTCTGTGAAAGGCAAGTAATGTGTTTCACCTTTACCAGTGGTTCTAAACCAAAGAAGATTTTGCCACCTGGCCCAGAAATGGTTAACAACATTTGGAGACATTTTTGGTGCCCGCAACTAGAGGGGTGGGAGAGGCAACAGGCATCTAACAGATAGAGCCCAGGGCTGCTGTTCAGCCCCCATTTCTCCCCAGGACAGCCACCTTCCCCAGGAAGAAATGAGCCAGGCCAAAGTTCGGGAGTGCCAAGGTTAAGAACCCCTGATCTTCTTGTAGGTCATAATAAGTATGCACTAATTCTGTGTAAATAAGACTGCCACTGTCTTTATGGGGCTTACAGGACAGTTACAAGAAAATAAATCCATAAGCAAATAAATTGTTTGAAGCAGTGAATTTGATCAGGGAAGTCAGAAAGACTTCATTGAGAGATGACCCTTGATACAAGTTGGTGACAGACTGCAGCCCTCAGACACACATCTACCCTCGGGGGTATCTAAATGCCAGCTCTATCCTTGTCTTGACAGGGACACAGAGCCTGTGAAATGATCCACAAAGAGTGTATCAATTTTCTATGCACCCAAATAAACCTTTTAAAAATATTTTATTTATTAATTTATTTGAGAAGTAAAGTGACAGGAACAAACAGAAGGGGGAGAGGGAGGAAAGGAGGGAGGGAGAGAGAGAGAGAGAGAGAGAGAGAGAGAGAGAGTCTGTCTTCATCTGCTGGTTCACTCCCCAAATGGCCAAAAGCAGCCAGGGCTGGACCAGGCTGAAACCAGACCTAGAAAAAAATACTGGTCTCCCACATGGGTCAGGAGCCCAAGAACTTGGGCCATCTATCACTGCTTTCCCAAGTACATTAGTAAGGGAGCTGGATTGGAAGTGGAGCAGCCAGGATTGGAACTGTTGCTCACAGGGGATGCAGCTTCACGAGCGATACCTCAACCAGCTGCTCCACAATGCTGGTCCCAAACTTATCTTTTAATTTTACTATTTGATGAGCTTTCTGAAGTCCTCTTGCATAGCTGAGAAACCTGAGGGCACACATTCCAGGCAGCTCTTAGGAGCAGCATGGTGGGGCCAGCATTGTGGCATAGTGAGCAAAACCACCACCTGTGGCACTAGCAACCCATATGGACACTGGTTCTAGTCCCATCCACACCCAATCCAACTCCCTGCTAAGGGCCTAGGAAAAGCAGCAGAAGATGGTCCAAGTGTTTGACCTTCTACCACGCACATGGGAATCCCAGATGAAGCTCCTGGCTTCTGCCTGGCCCAGCACTGGCCATTGCCACCATCTAGGGAGTGTACCAGCAGATGGAAGATCCCTCTGTGTATCTCTTCCTCTCTCGGTAACTCTTACTTTCAGATAAATAAATAAATCTTAAGGGAAAAAGAAGCAGCAGCATGGTGCTCCAGGGCTTGCTTAGCAGGTATCTGAGATAGGGAAGCACAGAAGAAAAAACATTCACTTTGCAATATAGAAGTGGTTTTGCAGCCTCACAGTGTCATTTAATAGTTGTAGGACCCCTGAGCAGGTTACCTAATCTCTCAGGACCCTAATCTCCTTATCTGGAAGAGGAGAGTGACAATAGGAGTCTCTATAGGGCCTTCGTACAGACTAAATGAGATTGTGAGGATAAAGCACTGGCATATGCTGGGTGTCCAGTGAAGGTTCACTCCTTCCTTTCTTCCCCATTCCACAGAGGGGAAACTGAAACGCAGAACAACATCTCCTGATTGCCTACATGCTCTCGAGGGAGCTGAAGATAGGGCAAATGTCTCCTGAAATTCAAACCCTGTTTGATTTGCACCTTGGCTGCTAGTGTCTCCTTTGACCTTGCCCCCCTCATTTCTTTCAAATAGTTTTTGAAGCCCCCCAGCAGTGAAGTGCTGTGCATCCTTGGGGCCGGGGTCCAGGCCTACAGCCATTATGAAATCTTCACCGAGCAGTTCTCCTTCAAGGAGGTAAGTCCAGGAGGAGTGGGGAGAGAAGAGGGAGAGGAGCGGCAGCGAGCTGAGTCTGTACTCCCTCACTGGGACGCCGAGTACTCAGAAATCATTAAGTTGACAGCCTGATCTAGGCTCTTGTTTTAAAGACTTCCAAGAAGCCCTGACGGAGGTGGAGAGTCTGAGAAGGTCAAATCACCTTTATTCAGTTTCTCAGTTCACAGGGCGTGTGCCTGAGAACATGGCAAGCTGCTCAGTAAGTTGAAGGATTCTGTTATGTTCATCAGATACATTCAGGAAGCTGGAATCAGAAACAGAGTGAGCACTCAAACCTAGGCAAGTCAGTATGCAACATGGGTGCCCCAAGTGACATCTTTACTACTTCATCAAACACCTATTCCCCTACAACCCCACTTCAAATGCTTTTTTATCTGCATTCAAAGATGAGCATTTACCATTTTCCAGTCTTCTTTTATCAGCTTTTTATAAGTTTTAATCATATGAGAATGCACAGTTACATATCCTGTCTTCATCAAATGATCTAACATGATCACCTTTACAGACTGTCCAATTTTTGCATAATATTTGCATAGTTTTCTATCAAGAAGGGTGACATGGTTAACTATTCCCTTGTAACTAGGAGAAATGTGTTATTTTCCACCTTGATTTTATTTCTACCTTGACTTTATTTAGACATTAAGTTTATTTCTATATCTATTGTATTTCCTTATGAGAGATTCTTTAGGCCTTTTTTCAGTTGAAGGCTGACAACCTTGGACCCACACTTTGAAACCTGTTAAGCTAGCAAATCCACAGCTTTTGATGAAGTCAGTAACACCCACCAGCCCCCAGAACCTTCCAGAATTGTAATTGTACCAGAATTCTTGGCCTTTTTGCTAGGCTTATCATTCACCTCCCACTCTTTACATACCCTCCCTACATACCTTTCAGAGATCAAGTTCCACGCAGGACACTGCCATAAGTCATCCTTTTCATGAATCTCACACCACTCATCTCCTTTACAAGATCTCAGAAGTATGAGTACTTAATCTGATGTGTATAAAGTTAATTGAAAATAGATCTTAGTAAAAAACAAGAATGGAATAGGAGAGGGAGGAGGAAGAAGTGGGGGAGGGCTGATGGGAGGGCAGGTGCAGTGGGAAGAATCACTATGTTCCTAAGGTTGTATTTACGAAGTTTGTATACCTTAAATAAGAGGTTTCTAGGGGGAAAAAGTGTGAGTCAGATACTCACCTGGCCCAGTTATCATTTGCATTTTACAGACATGATAACTGAGTGAGGTGAAGTATGAGTGGGCCTGCAAGAAATTCATGGAAAATGAATACGATAAGAAATAAAATTATTCATGGATTTAAGATTTTTTTGCACCAAAAATCCTCTCATTCCATTTTTCCATGAACTTTTTGAAGTATCCTCATACTTTCAAGAACAGTAAGTTACAAAGCAAAGACTGTTTCTGAACCTGCCTGGTTCCAGAAGTTACTCTGCTAATCATCAAGCTGTACAGTAGCTGTTATGCTACTGAAACTGTGTTCTGTCCTAGAATTGAAGAACTTCTACAATTTTCTGAAAGAGAAAATGGTAAAGAAAGCTCAGTCATGGTACTTTCAAATACCTGGCCAGGAGTCTGTCCAGATTAACACAGGATCCTTTAACAAACGTCCATTCTTCCTAGGGAATGATTTAGAGAACCACTGATGCTACTCCAGAGGGATTCAGCTTCCCCTTAGCACCCCTGGTCTCAGTGGAACCTAAGAGCCCAAAATAAGGCACCAATGTTCCTCTTCTTATCTCCAATGAAGGTGAGGATATGGAACCGCACTAAAGAAAATGCAGAGAAGTTTGCAGACACGGTGCAAGGGGAGGTACGGGTCTGTTCATCGGTCCAGGAGGCTGTGACAGGTGCTGATGTGATTATCACAGTCACCATGGCAACAGAGCCCATTTTGTTTGGTGAATGGGTGAAGCCGGGTGCACACATCAATGGTAAGTACAGTGGTTCCACGAGCCATGAATAGGTAGGTAGTGGCCAGATTCTTCCCCAGATTACACTCAGGACCTCCATCTACAGAGCTGATTTACTCACTGTGCAGCATGTCCAGGGCCTTTTAAGGGCCTTGAAAATACATAAGCCCTGAAAAGTAATTGCTCCAAAATCTGAAAGGAAATTAGACATGAAACTAATATTGAATTAATTAATACCTTATAAAATGTAACATTGTGGCAAATTGTCAGTCACAACTCAGTTCTTTTTTTCACACATAAAATTATATGTTTTTATAGAGTACCCTGTGATGTTTTGATACAGGTAGGTATACATTTTGTAATATTAGAATCATGGTAAGCATATCTGTTGCCTCAAACATTTATCATTTCTTTGTAGTTAGCTGTGAAGGGAAAGAATTTCTGGTGTTCTCTGGCATAGTAGGGTGATTATAATGATAATGTAGTGTATGTTTCAGAAAAGCTAGAACAAAGGATTTTGAATGTATTCACAGCTCAGATATTAAATGTAACAAAGTAAAATCACAAAGTCCAAATTAATCACTTGGGTTTTCTTAAATTTTTTATTGATTTGTGTTCATTTTATTTGAAAGAGAGATGGATAGAAAGAGATATTCGATTCACTTGTTCACTCCACAAATGCCTTCAATAGCCAGGAGCCTGGAACTCCATCTAGCTCTTTCCCATGGGTCTCAGGGACCCAAGTACTTCAGCCATCATCTACTGCCTCCCATGGTGCACATTAGTGGGAAGCCAGATTGGAATCAAAGGACCTGGGACTTGAACCAGGCATCTCAGAGCAGTTATTCCAAGCAGCGAGTTAACCACTATGCCAAGCTACCCCTCCCCAATCATTTATTCGTAATTGTTAGAATTATACAACTTTTCCAGAGGCTAGCATTGTGGTATAGTGGATAAAGCACCACTGTGACCCTGGCATTCCATATGAGTGCCAGTTCCTGTCCTGGCTGCTCCACTTCCAATTCAGTTCCCTGCTAATGGCCTAGGAAAAACAATGAAGTATGGCCCAAGTTTTGGGCCACCCATATGGGAGACTCAGATGAAGCTCCTGACTTTGGAATGGCCCAGCCCTGGCCATTGTGGCCATCTGGTGAATGAGCCAGCAGATGGAGAATCGATTCTCTCTTCTCTCTGTCTCTCTCTCTCTCCTCTCCCCTCTCCCCTCTCCCTTTTCTTCCTCCCCCTCCACTCTCCCTTCTCTCCCTCCCCCTTCCCCTCTCCCCACTCTCCTCCCAACTGTAACCCTGACTTTCAAATAACAAAAAGCTTTTCCAAAAAATTATAATACTAAAGACATTTCATGTGATTGTGATAGGGTGGGGAGTAGGAGAGAAGACTCAAAACATAAGGGTACCTGGCACTTCTGAAGATCTTCAAACAGCCCTAAGGATTATAACAAGAGATGTTCAAATACTATTGTGTGTATTTTCTAAATACTATATATGTATTATATCATTTAATTCTTACAACAACCTTAGGAGGAGGGAATTATTTTTGTAACCACAATTTCACAGGTGAGTAAACTAAGGCTTTTAGATTAAGTAATTTACCCAAAGTCAGAAGTTGTTGGAGGCAGAACTAGGATTTGAACTGAGGCACTCTACACTCAGTGGCCATGCTTTTACATCATCCTCCATATTATCTTCCAATCCTGGTGAGCAGAGCAGACAAATATGAGAAGATTTAAAGATGGCATCAAGGGCAGGCATCGAGGCACAATGGTTAAGATTCACTTGGGACACACACATCCCATATTGGAGTGCCTAGGTTCAAGTCCCCACTTGAAATCCCAATCCAGCTTCCTGTTAATATATGCACCCTAGGATAGCTTAAGTACATGGATCCTTGCTACCCACATGGGAAACTTGGTTCCTGACTTCAGCCTGGCCCAGCCTTGGCTGTTGTGGGCATTTGGTGTGTGAATCAGCAAAAAGAAGGTTTCTCTCTCTCTCTCTCTCTCTCTCTCTCTCTCTCTCTCTCTGTGTGTGTGTGTGTGTGTGTGTGTCTGCCTATCAAATAAATATAAATAAAACTTGGAAAAACATAAAGATGATATTATACCCATGTTTTAGTTACAAGCATATGGTGTGAACTCAGAACTTAGCTCTGCACACATGGGCAGATGAGTAGGCAAGAGCTAGATAAAATAACATATTCATTCATAAATGTTTACTGATGCCACATGCCAGGCATGTTTCTAGATGTTGAGATGCCACAATAAACCATGTACTCAAGGTCACTGCTTTCCTGGTTGTTGCATTCTAACAGAGGGAGATAAGCAACAAACAAAAGAACACTAGATAAAATAGATATTTCTAACTAAAGATGAGACTCTGAAGGAAATAAGACATGATGTGAGAGTCTGATAATGGAAGTAGAAGGTGGAAGGAGAGGTAAGTTCTTTATCAACAGGGTTATCTGAGAAGCTCTCTGAAGTCATTTTTCAAAAATTCTGTTTATTCATTCATGAATTCATTGTTTGAGTGATAGATAGAGAAAGCTCCCATCTACTTGTTCACTCCCTAAATGCCTGCAACAGCCAGGGATGGTCCAAACCGAAGCCTGGAGCCAGTAACTCAATCCAGATCTTCCACAAGAGTGACAGGGACCATACTAATTGACTCCTCACCTGCTGCCTTCCAGGGTGTGCATTATCAGGAAGCTGGAATCAGGAGCAGAGCCAGGACTTAAACACAGGCACCCCAATATGGGATGCTGGTGTCCTAAGCAGCCTATTAACAGCTGTACCAAACACCTGCTCCTGAGATCTTTGTTGAGCCATGGTCTGAATAGTAAGGAGGAGTCAGCCATGCCAAGAGCTAAAGGAAAGGCATTCCAGGTGGAGGGAACACCAAATGCAAGGGCCCTACAAACGAAGTGAATGTGGCACAACATGGAATGGGGCAAAATAAACTGGAAGTCTCAGCCTGCGGGAGGCTGGTGTCATGATGTGGGTCCAGGGAGTAGAGAAGAGGTGGATCAAGGCTGACTTTAGGGACAAAATGACCATTTCTGGAAGGACTTGAGAAGTCAAGAGGAACAATTTCTTGGTGAAATGGGTTCTCAAGTATGCGGCTAAATCTTCAGAGCTGATTTTTTTTCTTCTCTCTCTCTCTCAGCTTAAAACAGCACATTGTTCTCTCCCAGTTTCTGTGGGTCAGGAGTTGGGGTGTGGGTGAGCCAGCTCCTTTCTCAGTCTCCTGAGGATGAAATCAGATGTTATACATGCTGCAGTCTCATTTAGTGCCCAAGGTCCAACCTCACCCACTGTGCAGAACAAGCTCCTTACGTCCTAGGATGGAGGTCCACATTTCCTTGGGGCTTCCCTCAGCTCCTGGGGCTCTCCCACATTCCTTATCATGTGAACCCTCCTCCCTCCAACCTTCCTGTAGGCTGGGCCCCTCTCTCACTCTGAATCTCCAGGAAGGACTGACTTGATTTTCAGGCAAGGCTTCATTTACAGTTCCCTAGCCTAGAAACAAAATCGGTTTATATTGTCATTGTATTTCAAAAGAAGTTTATATTGCTAATTGTTTATATTGTAATTGTACATTCAAAAAAGTTTATTGCAAGTGCAAACAAGAGGACAACACCAAACAATAGAGTTGACTTAGTTTATAGCTCAACTGAGAGGCAGGATCAGTTCCGCTATTGAATACGCTTCCCTCATCTTGTCCCTACAGCACCCCACCAGCCAATCCTGCGACCCTCACTCATTCTCATCCCCACTGAAGCAAGGCCAGAGCCCAGTCTGAGACAGAACCCTCCTCTGCTGCCTGGCCCACCTCCAGCTGTTTGCATGGCCTCACACAACCCTTTGGGAACTTGCTCCTAAGTAGCGATGGTCTGGGGGGAAACAGTGCATGAGGATGGATGGCCTGAGAAACTGGGGTGTTTTTTTCCCACCAGCTTATGATTATTTACGAGCTTCATTAGCTAGGGCTTTTGTTCACTAGAACTCCCCATACAAATAACCTTCAAGATGGACGTTTTGCACCACTCTCTTTGGAAATTAGAGTACGAGAGAACAGAAGAGGGAATAAATTGGGAAAATTGGAAGGTAGTACAAGAAGGCATATAAATGCTGCCTTATAACTATATAAGGCTTTATAACTGTCTTCAAAGCCAACAGATGTGTTTTGTTTGGACCATGAACTGTTCTAGAAATTGAGAAATAACATGCAAATAGATTTCCTGCTTCTCTTTTTTTTTAATAAAGAAAAATGGGAGTATCTGTTAACAGTGGACATGCATTCACACATGGCAATAATTAGCTGGAGTGAACAACGGTGCTCCCGTGAGAAGGGCCTGCTTTCTGTGCACCTCCAAGCCAATCCCTTCTGGCCAACTTAGCTCCTTTTCATTGCCTGCCTGGTTCCACAGGCATTTGGTTGCAGCCGCCCCAGTGCCAGGAGGCCTGATGTGTTGCATTCATTGTTTGGCTCCTGGGATCTGTGGAGGTTGTGAAAGCTCAAGGCCCAGAAGGAGCCAGGTTTCTTGGTACTGGGGTTTCTCGGTGACCTTGATGCTGGGCTGTTTTGTCATGAGTTAAGAGAGAAGTAGTTGGGAGTGAGGCATGGGAGTAATTGAAGAGTGAGCAGGCAGACAGAAGGTAAAGAGGGTGGGGTGTGGGGTATGGATAAGCTCTACGTGATGTTAGTCTTTCATGGTGTTTGTAAGGAAGTCACGGCTTCTGATAAGTGGGAGAGACGTGAAAGCCGGTGTGTTCTCACAGACTTAGGTTCACTGATGTGATGCAAAAAATGTGTGAGGAAAATGGAATTAGATGTTTATTTGTGGGTATAAAAAATTTCAAAGTCCCTGCGTAGTTTTTTTTTTTCATAAAATGCATTTTTCATGACCTTTTTGAAGATCTCTTGTATGCATTGATTTCAATTTTCTTTTCATCAAAACACACTTATCTCTCTTTTTTTTTACTGTTCTGTATCTCTGAACGAATTTATTTTTAGAGGTCCTTATTGGTTTATGTTCATTTCAAAGAAAAGATTTGCATTCTTCATCTTAGTTATTTTCCAATATATAAAAGTTTGTCTTTCATTTCCATTTTCCATGAACATTTTGAAGTTCCCTCCTAGATAACCTTAGTGAGAACCTTCACTTCTCTGAGCCTCAGTTTATGCATCTGTTAAGTGAGACTCAAACATTGAAGCATACTAGTGAGAACTATAAATAGTATGTGTTAAACATCCCAAAGAGAGAAAGCACCCAATGAATGAATGCAAAGTCACCTCAAATCTTAGGAATGAGGTAGGGCATGAAATGGAAAACAATGGTAGGTGTTATTCTTAATAAACCTGCAGTCTTACTGATGGGGAGAGGCTTGGCCTGGGAGGGGGTTAAGGAGTCTGGATCTTTCAGCCCCTTCTTACCCAGGGGGATCCTTTTAGTATCTCTTGGGGCCATTTCTGTGCTCAGGGCTTGTTTTGCTGTTTCATAGCCATCGGTGCCAGCAGACCTGACTGGAGAGAGCTGGATGATGAGCTCATGAAGCAGGCGGTGCTGTATGTGGATTCTCAGGAGGCTGCCCTGAAGGAGTCTGGCGATGTCCTCTTGTCTGGGGTGAGCTCCCTCTCACCTGTCAGGGGTGTCATGAATGTCCCCTTCAGTTTGGCTTGCCCCAGGCCCTGGTCACCAAACTTTCTTGAGGGGAAGGAACCCCTTACCATCTAGCAAACCTTTTTTAATCCCATTGCAGAAGAACACGGCCATTATAGTGGTGACATGTGCCTTCCTGTCCCCTTAGCCTGGCGAGAGAAGCTTGGTGGATTTTCTACTGGGCTAGCCTCTAGACAGTGGGATTGGGGCAGCCTGGAAACCCACCCAGTGTAGCCAGCACAATAGGACTGTGATCGGCCACCTTCTGGCTGCCTTTTCCTCTTATGATACAAACATAGAAGAAGGAGGTTGCTGAAATGTGTATTCAGATAAGAAACTACCTATTCCTCATGGACCTAGGGACCTGGCAGAGCAGCCTCCTAGGGACAGACTTGCATCTCCTACTTCATGACATTACAAAAGCAGATGTTACTCAAAGAGCGATTTCAGGGGCCAGTGGTCTCCCTGATATCATCCACTTTACAAACAGTCCTTTTATCGTTGTTTCGGAACATCGTGTGCTAGCTGCAGAGGCTAACCCTGACTTGAGCTTCGTGCCTGGGTCCATGTGTGTTTGTTTCACAGGCTGAGATCTTTGCTGAGCTGGGAGAAGTGGTGAAGGGGGTGAAGCCAGCCCACTGTGAGAAGACCACAGTGTTCAAGTCTTTGGGTAAGAACCATTGTTCCCTGGACACAACTCCAACCAGAACACAAAGCAGGTTTACCCACTAGTGGAAAGAGAGATGACTCATCAGGTTCTGTAGCTAAATCATGTGGAATCCATCCTCCTGGTCAATTATTTACATGTCTTAGCAGAGCATGACATGAACCTTAAGCCCATGAACCCTGAAATGGGCAGTCCTGTGTTGGAGTCCCTTCTCTGCCACAGACTGGATGTGTGTTCCAGGGCAAATGACCTGACCTCTGTGAACCAGTTTCCTCACCAGCTTCTACCTTGAATTGTTGTGAGGATCAAGATATGCACTGAGAATGATTTGCTCAGAAAAAAGTGTCAGCAATAAATCAGGCTTATAGCTAAAGGAAACTCAGAAGAGAAGTCCTTCAGAGATAGAGGGCAAGGAATAAAGATGTTAAAAGCAGAGGTCAGGAGTGATGCAGTGAGTTAGGCCACTGTGAGACACATGCATCCTATACCAGAGTGCTGGTTCAAGTTAGGCCTATTCTGCTTCTGATCTAGTATTCCGCTAATTCACCTCGGAGGTAGCAGATGATGGCTCAAGTGGTTGAAGTCCTGCTACCCATTTGGAAGAACTGGATGGAGCTCCTGGCTCCTGGTTTTGGTCTGGCCCAGCTCTGGTTATTGTGGCCATTTGGGAAGTGAACCAGTGGGTAGAAGATCTCTCTCTGTCCCCCTCCCACACCCGCCCTTATTTATTAAAATAAATAAACACGTGGAAGGGGAGGGAAGAGAGGAAGAGCTTAAAGGAAATGGCAGAGAACCAACCTGCACGAGATTCAGCCAGGAAGCACAGCCTGAGATAGCTTCATCCCCTCCTTCCACACCCTCCCACTTGTACTTTGAGGAGGGCACCCTTTTCCACCAGAGCTGGTGAGGGTAGAAAGCCAAAAAAGGGTGGGCTCCCAGTGGCCTGCCTGCCCCTTGGCTCAGCTGTCTCACTCTCCCAGATTTCAGGAGACAGAATTACATGAGAACAGATCTGATAGTCACTGCTACACCTAAAATATTGACGTACTCCCAAACCTGTTGGTACATAGCTGCTACCCTGAGTACCTTACAAATGCCTTCTGTCCATCTCCCACATCCTCTATACTTCTTCACAATCAAACAAGGAAAGCTGGAAGGCTTTGTTGGACATTAAAAGTGTTCTGGCCCCCCAGCCATCAGGATACTATGTCGTCAGATAGTATCCATGCATTGGCGGTTATTAAGTATTTTTAAAGTTGTTCCTGCACTGAAACATGGGCAAAGGCAGGGTGATCTTTGTCAGGGCCTGGTTCACAAATACCACACTGAACTAGTTCTGTCTGAGTGTTTCAGAGTTCACAGCAAATCTGATGTCATCTAGCTTACCTAACTCATTAAGTCCCAAGTTTTGGATTCTGGGGATATTTTGACATATTTATTTCAAAATTCCCACAGCTGGTATATTTATTGCTAAATTTAAATCTTTAAAGGTGTCCAATAAATAGGACAGTAGGACATAGTTAAAGAGATAAAGTATTGCTCCTAAAACCTGCTCTCCCCTTTTGAACAATTTTCATTGCCACCTTTAGAGATCTGGTTTATTGGCACATCCCTTCATTTAACAAATGCAAATTAAGCACTGTGTATATCTGTGCTGGGTGCAGAGGTTAAGGTCTGTATCTCAAACTACAGGTAAAGTATCTTTCACCCAAAAAGCTTAAGACCAGAAGTGTTGCCTAGATTTACCAGTTAAGTATCTCCGATCTGAAAATCTGAAATGCTCTGAAATCCAAAACGTTTTGAGCATCATCTCAGCACTGGAAAAGTTTCAGATTTTAGAGCATTTTGTCTCAAATTTTCAGATGAGGATGCTTGTCCTAAGACAAAGAGATAGGCTAAAGTTTGATGGCCAAACCCAGCTTACCACCTATTTTTGCATGACCCTCAAGCTGGAAATGGATTTTACATTTTCAAATGATTTTTTATGGTTATTTCATGACACATGAAAATGATCTGAAATTTGAACATCAGTGTCCATAGTAAAGGTTTATTGGAACACAAGTAGGTTCATATGTTTACCTCTTGTCTACAGCTGCTTTCCCACTATTTGGACAGAATTGAATAATGGTGGCAGACTATATGGCCCACAAAATCTAAAATATTTACTGTCTGACTCTTTATTGAAAGTTTGCAGACCCCTGAACTATACCTTGAAGGAAACACCATTTTTTCAGTGGGCATCTCTTGCTTAGTAACATAATCCCTGGCTTGTTCTGCCCTTCACAGAATACCCAAGACTGGGCTTACTTCTGGGTATCAATCCCAGATGGACACTAGCTGCAAAGATATCTGACAGCTGCCAGTATGGGGCCAGGGTTGTTTCAGAAAAAATTATGCTGGCAAAATGTCAACCAAATTTCTTTATGTTCCAGGAATGGCAGTGGAAGACATGGTTGCAGCCAAACTAGTGTATGATTCCTGGTCATCTGCTAAATAAAACAAAGATAGTTCATGTTGCTATGGATGCTGCAGCTTGAGGAATGTTGCAGCTGATAATCTCATAATTCTAGATCAAGTGGGGGAGCCCAGATTCCAGTGAACTCTGGTTTTGTGCTTATGTCTAACCCTAAATACTGGGATCCCCATTCGTGTTTGTAGTTGGAAAACAAAACCTCCGGTTGTACCAAGTTATAGTAGCATCTCTTTCCCTTGTGTTTTACTGCCCTTTGTGTTTCCCTGCAATAAAGCATTTTCTGACTCTGTAGTGTTTGCTCTGCTAACTTCTGTATCTCACTGCAGGAGAAATGATGGTGATGAGGTTCTTCCATTCATTCCCTTTGGGAATTCTAGTGACTATAATTGAATATTTTTTATTTTTTAAAATGGAGATATAACTCACATACCATAAAATCATTATTTCAAAGTGTACATTTCAGTGGTTTTGAAGCGCATGCACAGAGTTGCACAACTACCTTCATTCTCTAATTCTAGAACATTTTCATTATCCAAAAAGGAACCTGATGCCCATTAACAGTCATTATCCATTCACCCCTTTTCCCAACTGCTGGAAACCACTAAGCTACTTCCTACCTGTATGGATTTGCCTGCCCCTTCTGGACATTTCTCATACATGAAATCATACATTATGTAGACTTCCTAAAATATAAAGGAACAATGGGTTTCTGTATAGATCAGGACTCCTTTGGTCACAAGTGGTAGAGACCACATCTCAAACTACCTTAAGCTGAATGAGTGAGTGAATGAGGGAATGCATGAGAAACTGAATGTGATGTCTCTTGTAATTAACAAGCACACAGGTAGCTGGTTTCAGCTATAGTTGTGTTCAGGGTGCCAGGTGTCATCAGGACCCAGTGTTGTTCCTAGGTTCTGTATTCTTCAGCATTGGATTAGCAAGCAAATTGTCCCCTGCTGAGGCAGGACAGTTGCCAGCAGCCCCCTGAATTATATTCTTCTTTAGCAACCTTAGCATAAAACAGAGATTCTCTTCCTCCACAGTTAGAAGACTCAGAATTGAGACTCCCTGAATCATGTAGCTCATGTGCCCATTCCTGGGCCTGAAAGAAATGGAATAATGTTTGGCCATGCTTAGACCATGTGCCTGTCACCATTGTGTTGTCCAGGCAGATTTATTGGCCAGGCCTGTTTCACTTGCCCATCCTTGAGGTCAGGAGTAGAATCAGCCCATCTGACCACAACAACTGACAAAAGGGAAGGAGTCATTCACCTTGAAGAGGGAAGGCAAAATCTACAAATGACCACTATGGAGTCTGTCTTGAAAAGGCCAGCGGGACTTACCTCTTCTACCTGCTCAACATACAGACGGGGAAACTGAGTTGCTGGGATGCTGTCTCCTGAATCATCAGAAGAGTTATGTTGCCTTCTCTTGCCAAAGACCCTGTCCAAATCTGGCTGCCAGTCTACCCCAGGCTGGCCATCAAACAAATCAGCAGCAAAGCAAGGCATGGCACTTTATTTGGCTTTGTTTTCTTACCCACACTCCTCCTGGCATGGCCTCTCCATACTCCAGGTGGCTTAGCCAAAAGTTGATCATGTTTGCCAAGTGATCTGGAAAGGGACCTTTGTGCTGAAATAAAATACCCACTTAGAGATTAGCACTTGTCCTAGCTGTTAAGTCACCAGTGAGGATGCCCTTGCCCCACATTGTAGTACCTGGGTTTGACAAGGCTCCAATTCCTAACTCCAGCTTCCTGCCAATGCAGACCCTACAAGGAGGTGATGATGGCTCAAGTGATTCTTGCCACCTACATAAGAGACTTGGATTGAGTTCCCAGCTCCTGGTTTCCACCCTCTGGCCACTATAGGCATTTAGAGCCTGTGAATGGAAACTGTCTATATCTCTTTCAAATACACAATAAAAAAATATACACATAAACCAATTGTGCATGTCTCATGCAACTGGAGTATTGCTGAAGAGATATGTAAAGCAGAGTGTGTGATGAGGAGGATATCATTGGTATATTTCTTCCTTTGTTCTGTCCGCAAGAGTCCCTCTCCTAATTGTGTATTAATCTGCTAAATACAACAGGAAAAACATAGTCTTCAACCAACTCAAGAAAACACAGTCCAGAAGGGAAGACTGAAAAAGATAATTACACTACAATGCTTTGGTGTTGCAGGCACATATGGCACAGAGTGTCTGCAGGAAATGGATGCCACACACAAACAGCGTGATTGAAGAGAATTTAATGAAGAGACTATTTAGAAAGCAGCACCTCAGGGCTAGCAACAGTAGGAAGTCACTGCCACTGCTAAACTTAAAAGAGCAGCAAGTAGAAGCTTGCAAGTACTGAAGCTGTAGCAGGGGCTGCCAGGCAGCAGCTGAGGGGAAGCGGGTACTGTCCCACAAGGAAGAAACAGGAGTAATAAATGCTCCACCTCTACCCTGTGGTCTCTTGCTATTACCTCCCTTTGGCCAAACCCAACTAGAATCCCAAAAGCAAGGGAGTTCTTGGATGCGGTTTGCAGAGGTCAACCATCTGGGACACAGAATAAGGTGTAAAATAGCAAGGAGGAGTTCTGGAAGGGCAAACAGACAACCTGAAGTTAGGAAGAGTTCTCAACCCAGACTAAGTGTAGAAAGAGGAGGTGAGTCTCTCCCTCTCCCTCTCCCTCATGCTTTCCCTGTCTCTCTCCCTCTCCCGTAACTCTGCTTTTCAAATAAATAAACCTCAAAAAAGGTCTCTAGACAATGTGAGATGTCCTCTAGGAATTAAAAGGCAAGATCATTCAGGTTGAGAAACACTGGCTTGGTACAAAATAGATTTCAGTTCTGGCACGTTGAGTTTGAGGTACCTGTGAGATATTTAGGGGAGATGTCAGATAAGGCAAAGGCTTATGGATTGGAATCCAAAACAATGGTCTAGGCTGGTGACAGTTTCTGTAACTGATCCATAATATATCATGGCCTGAAATATAAATATACATTTATATACATTTATCACACTGTAACTTTTTAAACATCAGTGAAGTGTTCCCAGTTGTTTTTCTTTAAAAAAAAAAGATTTATTTATTTATTTATTTGAAAGTCAGAGTTCCACAGGGAGAGAAGGAGAGGCAGAGAGAGAGAGAGAGAGAGAGAGAGAGAGAGAGAAGTCTTCCTTCCACTGGTTCACTCCCCAATTGGCTGCAATGGCTGGAGCTGGGTCAATCTGAAGCCAGGAGCCAGGAGCTTCTTCATGGTCTCCCATGCAGGTGCAGGGGCCCAAAGACTTGGGCCATCTTCTACTGCTTTCCCAGGCCAGAGCAGAGAGCTGCATAAGAAGTGGAGCAGACAGAACTCAAACCGGCACCCATATGGGATGCCAGCACTGCAGGCAGTGGCTTACCTGCTACGCCACCGTGCTGGCTCCTGTTTTTCTTTTTTATTGATTTTAATGTCATGCTACATGGTATGGGAAAATGCAGGGTGGGGCCCAGGAGTCAATATCACTGGAGTGAGCTATTTAAGCACATAGTTAATGGTATATAAGTGGATATTTGAAACTCATCCTGGATCATAATCCTCTTGTTTTTGCCTCTCATCAAGACTTTTATATTTTTTCCAGTATCTTCTCTCAGGTTGGGGCTTAATTAGAAAAATCTGGAATTCTCAGAACATTTATAACTTTTTTATAGTGTGACATAAACTTTTTATGAACTAATGCTGTCTGATGGGGAGGCTATGTCTTCACTGCTAAGAAGTTGGGAGAACTCTTGTTTATTAAAAGTCTGAAAATCGTAAGAGGCCAAGAACCCCCAAGAAGAGCATAAAAGTGTCTGCAGGGACTCCCAGGGGCCCCCGATGGCAAACATCTCCCCCAAGGGGGTGAAAATTGCACAGTTAGGCTCATTTCTGCCACCTTGACTGATGACACTCTCCTTGCTATGTAACTTGGGGCAGGGGGTGGAAATAATGCCTCATCAGGAAGATTCTGGGGAATAGGAGAAGAGGCAATCCCGGCATTTACAGTGATGACTTATAATAGAGGCAAGCTCAGACTCTGAGTGCCTTCTTTCTGCCAACTGCTTTTGTGCATATTACTGAACGCAAATACAACTTGAGTTGATTCCAGAACAACAGACCACAGTATCTGTAAATATAATCATCCCCTAATGCAACACGTTTATTCAATGACAGGCAAGCTTTCTGAATCCACCCATTGAGAAAGACTGGGCCAACTGCTCATCATATTTAAACATTTGTATCCTTCCTAAACTTATATCTCTGGTGCCTCTTGAAGTACCCAAAAGCATGCCAAAGATAAACAGCTATTTCTATCTTACACACATAATCAGTGGTAACTTCCATGTCATGTAAATCTGGCCATAAAAATCCAATGGAACTTAGATATTCAGCAAGGGTTCAATTTGAAATTGGGATTGCCATTCACAAAAAAAAATGTCAGCAGCATCTGGCCAGTTCATGTTGTAGAACTTAACACACATTCAGACATGCAGCAATGGCGATAAACAACAGTAAAAGATATATTCATAGTAAACATGAAAATGTCAAACTTTACCTTTATAATCCAATCTTCCCCACAAAAAAACCTGGGTTTTATTTTCCCTTTTCTAAGTAGAAGGCATCACTTACTCCTAGAAAAGTCATTAGGTCAGACATTTTTCTGTATCCTTTTTCTCTTCCTCTACCCTCTTGCATAAGAACTCTGTTCCTCCGCTGGGGTTGCCTTAACAAAATACCATAGACTGAGTGGCTTCAACAACAGACATATATTTTTTTTCACAGTTTTGGAGGCTGGAAGTTCAAGACTGAGAGATGGCAGGTTTTTTTTTTTTTTTTTCTCCTGAGGTCTCTCTCCTTCAGCTTCTCACTGTAAGAAGAATTGTGTCCTCACTTGGCCTTCTCTCTCTCTGCATGCATCCTTGGCATCTCTTCTTTTTCTCATGTGGACACCAGTTATATGAGATTAGGGACCCATCCTTATGATCTCATTTAATCCTGTCTCCAAACCTAGTCACATTGGTGGGTTAAGTCTTCAACATATGCATTTTGGGGGTATACAATTTAGTTTATGACAGGTACTCTACATTTTATTTCTTGCTTTACTCTTCCTACCTGCCACCCTGTCAGGTATGAGCATGATAGACCCATTTCTATTAGTTGTAAACATGTTAAAAGGTTAGATGCACTTGAATAGGGCATCAAGCCCCAGGCCAATGCCTCCACTGGTGCTTTAGTTTCCACCAGAACACAAAGTCAGAGTGAACCACAGCACCAGAGTTAGAATCCCCAGCCTATGCGGATTAGAAAGAAAGCAGCAGACTAGTGGGATGGGAGTTTGTAAATTTAAGTACAGAGTTAGAAAAGTAAAGAAAGCTTCTTTTCCCTTTCTGTCATCCATTTGACCATTTCTTTATTCAAAAATATCGAAAGGATAACTGAAGACAAATGCCATTTTCTTGTTCTGAGGTTGTCTTGAGTGTCTTGGTGATGGTTTATTCAGATGGGGTATAGAGAATTTCCCAGACAGAATTTGGGCCTCTTAGGTAGGCCTATCCAAAACCCTAGAAACCATTCATGGTGGCCTGGCATTGAGCAGAGAGGGGATTTTGCCTGGAGTGCTTCCTGGAGTGCCTGGAGTGGGCCATGTAGACTCACTCTGCTGATCCACCACTCTGCATCAGAGGCTGGTGTCAACCAGCAGCCCAGGCTGTTGTAGCACCTGCTTCCTTCTGTTTATGGCATTAAGTACTTTCTTCCTGGGACCCAAGTGCATTTGTATGTTCTGAAGGTCCTCATCAGAGCAAAGCAATAGAGCTTCTAGATCGATCTCCTCTCTCATGAGAATGGGGAGGACTTCCTCCAGATGATGGGACTGCAGGAAGACTTCCAGGGGAGTGGCATCGACCACATCCTCCTCCCACTCCACTTCAGCCTCATCCCAAGGCAGGTCATCTCCAGGGCTGTTGTCCTCTATCTCTTCATCAGCCTCTGCTTCTTCTTGTCTCTGAAGCAATTCCCTGGGCATTTGGAATTCCAACTCCCTCTTGCTGTCTGAGATGTCTTCAGGGATTGATACTCTGTTTCCTCGAAAAACAATATTTCCTAGACCTGGACGGTTGAGAATGGATTCATGTTGCCCACTGCTGTCCTCCTCTGCTGGGATCTGGAGCTTCTCTTTGAAGTCCTCTGAGAAGGAATCTTCTTCCTCCTCTCTGAACATTTCCATCACATTCTTCTGCCCACTTCTGCCTTCCCTTCCCACCTGCTCCGCTGTGTCTTTGTTTTTCTTGAACTTTAACTTGAAGGTATCCTTAATGCCCTTAGACAGGGATCCAAATGTACCGGAGGCAGAAGCATTTGAAAAGGATGACTTCGAGAATGTACCCTTGGATGAAGAGAGAGTCCCAGATTCCTCCTTGCTGTAGGTGTGGGCCATCTTATTCTGGTGCTTCTCCTGGATCCTTTCACACTCTTTGATCTGCTTCCTGGCATTCTTCTGAGCCTGCTCCTTCAGCCTGGCGACCTTCTTGGGGTTCATACTGTTCTGTACAGTGGCAGCCTTATCCAGGAGGGCCACACATTCATTCTGCTCCCTGCTGACAGCAGCATCCAAAGGAGTCTGTAAGTCATTATCCAGGACAAAGATGTTGGCCCCAAAGTTGATCAGGAATGAGACACAATGGGCATGGCCATTGGAGGCTGCATAATGTAGAGGAGTATTTCCCCAGATGTCACACCGATCAGGATCCCCTCTAGAAGAGAAAATAGAAAAACATGTTAAATGTTTTTTTTCCCCTCTAAATGTGAGATCCAAAAAAAACTAAAAACAAGAATAAAGAACAAAATGTTTGCTGATATAAGCATGTTTATCCTGCCTTGGCACAGTTTTGAGATGCTGTAAATCCAAAAATGTCACATCAAGATACCACATGACCAGAAACAGAAAGAGCCCAACTCTATTCTGTGTCTCCTTTTTAGAAGAAAAGCTTTCCAAGAAATTCCCTAGCACAGCAACTCCCATGTCTCTGTGGCCAGAATTGAGTCACATGCCTAAGGGTAGGGAAATACAGTACCATATGTCACTTAGGTCAGTTAGAATTTCCTCCTGAAGATAAGGATAGAATTTTTCAGTGGTGGGCTGATAACATTTAACAACTGGCTCATCTAGGAAAAGAATCAAAGCCTTGAGTTATAACATGCTCCCGTATCTGTGGTATAAATACTGTTACCATGCAAATTTCAAGCTTCCAATGTCATATTACTGAAAACACAGAGTTTTAAAGAGATTTGCAATAGCACACTGTTATGAATTATTTAGGGGAGGGCATTTGGCCTAGCAATTAGGATGCCAGTAGGGAGCCCGCATTCCACATTAAAGCCTGGATTCAATACTCCACTCCATTCATTGACTTGGGCTTCCTGCTGTTGCAGACCTAAGAAGCATTAGTGATGGCACAAGTGACTGGTTCCACATGGGAAACCTGGATTGAGTTCCTGGCTCCTGGCTTTGGCCCCAGCTAGGAGCTTTTGGGGTTATTTGTTGAGTGAAATAGTAGGTGAGAGGTCTTTCTCTATGTCTCTCTGCCTCTCAAATAAATGTTTTTAAGAATTATTTTCACAATATAGATATGTACTAGACATGCCTAATCTTAAGAGACAATAGCAAAATGTAGTAAAATAATTAGGAAGTAATGAGTTTCAAGTGTTACTTTTTAATTTATTATAAAGTTCAAATTTATATTTTTCCTTTTTTTTGTTTTTCAAATTCATATTTTTATTTCTAATAATTGCTATATTTAACTCTCAAACTTCCTGGAAATTTAGCAATAACTTCTCATGAGCTGGTAAGAGGTGGTGCCAGCATACCAATAGCTAACCTCCCCTGAGTCACTTGTAAGAAAGTAAATCACTCAACAAAATGATGTCCTCATCAGAAAAAAAAAAGAGAGGAACAAGATGTTGAGTAGATGGCAATGTCTGCTACAACAATTATTCAGACAAAGGGTAGAATATTTCCCTTTATCTTCAGCTTAATTCCAGTGTCATATATGTAAATATTTCTACAAGAGTTCAAGGTAGAACTTGGGGCATCATTAGATGTTATTAAAGGGGGCCAGTGCCATGGCTCACTTGGCTAATCCTCCGCCTGCAGCACTGGCATCCCATATGGGCGCCGGGTTCTAGTCCTTGCTGCTCCTCTTCCAGTCCAGCTCTCTGCTGTGGCCCTGGAGGGCAGTGGAGGATGGCCCAAGTGCTTGGGCCCTGCACCTGCATGGGAGACCAGGAGGAGGCACCTGGCTCCTGGCGCAGCGCCGGCCATAGCAGCCATTCTGGGGGGGTGAACCAATGGAAGGAAGACCTTTCTCTCTGCCTCTCTCTCTCTCTCTCTCACTGTCTAACTCTACCTGTCAAATAAGTGAAAAAAAAAAAAAAAAAAAGATGTTACTAAGGCCAGAGACCCAATGCCTGGCACAGAAACAGGGATACAGAAGGTGCTCAACACAAACCTGTGGAATGAATGAATGCTTACTGGAACCCTGCTCCAAGACACCAGCTCCCCTGTCTTGTGAGGCCTTTAATTTACAAACAGGCACAGACCTAGTGGAGGACAGGAGAGAGAGACTGAAAAATTCTCAACATTTCTGGAGAATAGAAGACTGAAACAGAAGAGCAGATCTATACCCTTGCAACTGAACTGATAATGTACCAGAACCCCTCCTACTCACTCCTTGCTACTCAGTTTTAGTTCCCAGATCAGTGGTCCGTTGACACCAGCAGCAGTATTTCTTGTGAGTTTTCTAGAAATGTAGAATCTAGAACTCCAGTGAAGACTTACTGAATCAGAATTTAGAGTTTAACAAGATCCCCCAGATGATATTTTGACTCACTACAGGCTGAGAAGAACTGCACTAATTAACATGGACCAACCCCTGGCCTCTCATTTGACAAATCAGGTTTGTAACTCCTCCTGCCTCATGTTTTTCAATTGTGAAAGCACTTTCACATTCATTGCCCACCACCACCAATTATCACAATCTCCCTCTTGGAGAAGGAAGGGAAGGGTCATTATCATAAGAGTAAAATAAGACTCAGGGAGCATAATCGATCTGCCCAAGGGTAACAGGCAGTGCACCTGGATCCGTGGTGTCCCAGTCTAATTGTCTCCAACACAATACACGTTATGGTGACACATCCCAGCCTTCCCACTTCACCAGTGACAAGGCTTCAAGTTCAAATGAACTTTCCTACAACCTGGTACCTTGCTCTGCAAACTGAGGATACTACTACTACTACTCATAGAATTGTTATGTGAATTAGTTAATTCAAGACACATAAAGCATCAGAAAAGTGTGTGGCACATAGTGAATAGTCAGCAAACATTTGTTATTAGTATTTCCCTTGTGTCTAAACTCACAATCCTTAATTTCATATTTCTGGTTTTTCTCACACCCATCTAGCAAATTTTTGCAGCACAAGAGCACTTATAGTCTGAACTTGTCAGCTATATATGCTCTGTCTCCTTAACTAGATAATAATTCCAGAAGGCAAAGCCTGTGTCTTTCCTTTCTTTGTGTCATCTATTCCTAGCCAGTCTCAAACCCAAACCAAGCTGGTAATGTTAGTGAGTGACTGAATGGAGCTAAGTTTTTTCTTCCAACAAAGTCATGGTTACGTGCCTGCTCTACCTAGAAAGGACATTGTGGCTGATGCTACCTTGAATAAAAGCAGAGGCAATATTGCCAGAGGTTTCATTTTTCAAGCAAAGTCAGAGATGCATAATTTCATGTGCAACTTTTTTTTTATGTGCTGGCTCGAATTTAAAAGATAAATACAGGGCAGTCCAAATAAAACACATTTGTGTGCTAGATCCAACTGGTAACCCGGCAATTGGCGACCTCCTTCTGTGCAGAGAACACAGCATGAGCAGCTGCGGGGATGGGTGATATTACAGGGCACACTTGGGGAACTAGGAGTGTCTATCAGCACCTCTAGAGTGCATGGAGTTAGGGGCAAGAAAAAGGAGTGAGAAGGATAAGGAAGGAAAGTGAAATTAAACCTTAGGAAAGCAAATGGTAAATGACACAGCTTTGCTGGCAGCCACTTTCAAGGCGGCTCTGGTTGGTCAGCCTGATTTAGTAGTTTTGGATCAAAGGCACCCTTTTCAGCACTGGCATGGTTGTGCATCTTAGACGAACACAATGCCTCACCCCTAAACATGTGATTGCGCTTTTTAACTGAACACCAGATTCAAAAGACTCCTCAAGTACACTAGACATTAAAGGGATTGTAAAATATCCAAGATGTTACTATAAACATAAACAGATTGATTAAATTTGCTTGAAATAATCCCTGGGTTGGATAAGGTTAAAAAAGAAATTATTGGGAGGAGTGCACTGTGGGTAGGGGTGTGTCAAGGTATTAAGAAATCTGGGTTAAATCAATTGCTTAAGGTCATAGAGCTAAGTTTTCCATCTCAATGGATTTTAAAGCATGCTTTCAAGTAGGGAAGAATAGCAGGAACAAAACCTGAGGGGACCCAAAATGTATGTCTTCTTTTCAGAAAATGTCAAATGGAAAATTCTGAATTTGCTGATGAAAATATCAGTAAGATGACTCTCAAGTTTCTCTAGTACATGGAAGCTGTTTCTACAAGCAAATCATTCTATGTACAGACAACTTTTCCAAATTGATGTAATGATTAATTTAAAATATGTTCTGCTGATGAATTTCATTCTAAATTCAGTCCCTGTCACCTTTCACATTTCTTGATAGAACTGTTGCAATTATATCCCAAGTGTTCACAAAGTGGTCCCCCTCATTTGACAATTCACAGCCAACAATGATGTTCTGTGGTTTGCTTGGGTTAAATTGAGTCCAGCATTTGTTAGTGAAATGGTACCATCTTATCTAAAGGCGCCATCTCAAGCCCTGGACACCATCTTGGCTTCTCCAGGGCCCAACCTGGCTTGCTAGAAGTCAGGTGACCAAATGGCTCAACCACAAATGTCAGCTCCACCCCCACCCTAACGGAATTCACTGCTCCCACTTCCTTACCTGCTGCAAGACTATAACAGGATCTGCTTCCCGCATGCACTCTGTTGACCTCTCTTTCTCAACCCCTCTCACTTCTTTACCTTCTCTCGCCCTCTCCCTCTAGCCTGTGAGGTGTCCCCCACTCAACAAAACTTTCCTTTAACTCCAGTGTTTCATGTTTTCTGGTAGCCTTTCAGTGTTTATTTTTTTTCTCTATATTTTCTTCCCCAACAAGAAACTCACTGGAGAGCTTATAAAATAACCCATATTTTGCCCTTGGTTTTTGGTAGATTGGTGCACTTGAGCAATAATTTTTAAATTTGGGTTGGTAAACTAATTACACAATTGGCTTACATTAAATTACCCTGATCATCTATTCCATTCCAATTTTTCCTTTTGAAGTTGATTTGATTTTTTGGTGAAGTTCTTCTCAGAGAGCAATCATTCTTTCAAAAGTGTTTTTCTTTATAAAAATGAATTCTCTGGATTCCCAGGTGGTCGCGAACATCCTCAGCGGTGGACGATTCAACATGGGCAGGGCCGTGGCCAGGATACTCAGGGAATTGCTGGGCAAGTAAGTGGGGGCGGGGCCTGCTACAGAGCAGTGCTGCAGCTGCTGTCCCCACTGCAGCTCCCCCATTGCCCTGGGGCAGTTGCTGTTGAGCTGGGCCACTTGGGCAGACAGCCCCAGTGCAGTGTCTGGGCTTTAGCTAAGAGC